TAATAGCATTATCAATTACTGAGTTATACTTGAAACTGATTTTATAATGTATTTTTCTAAAAACAATTTATATAATCTTTATCGCGTCTTCCAACAGATTGAGAATGTGATATACCTTAGTGGTAACTATTAAATTATGATTTATTATTATGATTAAAATTTTTTGTATATAAATCTAAAAAAGTTTTTGCATAATAATAAACCAAAGTGAATCTTAGGCAAGTATTAAATTACGGATAGAAGAATGCTTTCATTCAATAAAGTTTTCAGAATGTGTTCCTTTTCAAGCCACTTCGCATTTTGTCACCTACTGTCTTTGGTCTAAAACTTTTCCGCGTGGGCTTTACCTTTCGCTGACCAATTATGCGCTAAACAGCTCAGAGCTGAATCTGTGACTTGCTATGGAGGTATGAGTATAAATATATTGACCCTATGAGAGCTATGAAAGCATATATAAATGTGACCTAACTAGAATGTGATCACATTCTAGCATAGCAGATGTTGCAAATATTGATTTTAACGTATAATTTGAGATAATTCCTTCTTAGTAATTAACTAAATACTATTATTCTGTACTTCCATTTATGATACACATCACTCACTAATACTCTCTCTAACCTAATAAAACTTCAATCATCCACACAACGTTCTGTCGATACTGATGCGAATGTGTACTATTCCATCACTTGGTAAGGTAAACACCAAAAGCTGTATATTTACACAGCATCCTGAGTCGTGTTAGGTACGAACTCTTTAAAGTTAAGTTGATTTAAGAATTATTTTCCTCAATTGGTGAAAGTAAAAAGATAATCGCAATTTTTCCATTTTACTCTTTGTAAGCTCGGATTGAAATATACAAACACACTGCATTGTAGTTTATTTTTGTACGAAAATAATTAAATTTCCCCTATGATATTAAATCAGTTCCGTTTAAATAGATCGTATTTATTTTAGAAAAAGAAACAAAAATATTTCCCCAGGAAAAATACTCTATTCGAACAAAAGTCCAGACGAATTTTTCGAGACATTATTAACATGTTGTACAGACAATGAAGAGCATGGCATTTGCTGAGTCCTAAAATGTATAAATACAGAATGAATTACTCATTGCAAATGTTACCCAAAGGTAGGTAAACAGACAGAAGCACATTCTCTACTTGTCTTATATTCAAGTGCTATAAATGGTGCCATCATTTGCGTAACTTGGAACAAAACACTACAACTTTTCATGATTTTTGAACTTGAAACTTGTAATTTTATGACTTGATTATACACGAAAATTGATGGTTCTGCCAGCTGTTTTCACGAGAATCTAACCTATTTGATCATTGCGGTTAGGGTGCGGCCCGCGTGTTGGAGACCTATTCTTTAGCCAGTTCAACATAATGGGACTATCTAACTACCTTTTTGTTCCAAATGCCAATATATGTTATCAATTTTATGTAACTAATCACACTATCTGCCAGAGATGAACCGCGTTATTATATTTACACACCCAGTTCAATTTTTGCACTTTAATTGTTTTGACTCGAACTCCCAGGTATTCCAAAATACGAAATCTTTGGTATGTCCTTCCACTAATTTAAGTGCGCATTTGGTGATTTCAGATCATTTTTGCTCATAACATAGATTACTTCACGCTTATTAGAATATCGCGATGATCAAACACAATAGACCACAGAATCATCACTCTGGCACGATCACTAATACTAATACCACACAATATTGTCTTCCTCTAGTACAGTGTTTCAACCTTTTCGAGCCTGCCGAAATCAATGCCATTCCACAAGTTCCCATCGTATTGAACGGTTGAAACTTGCGCAATCAGAATTTAATAATCGGAAGCTAATTTGTACAAGGCAATAGGAAATGATCATCGTAATAAACTGAATTCAAAAGTGCAGTGGTGGCGCGTCAATAGGGCCAACCGGGGCAATACCCCGGTTGTTTTTTCGGTATAATAAAAAATATTCGAAAAATACCTCAATATCGGTTGCACAGACTGTCTACACTAGCCATATTCTCCCGACATGGTTCATTTCCGCTCGCAAAGCCTTCGCCGAACGTCGACGGGGCGACGCCGATTTTGCCCCGGTTGCTCATTGTATATCGTATTCTCTCTTTTATCTTCCACTCGCCGCGTTTGTCTCGTTTGTTTTCTGTTTCTTTTACTAAATCATCGGGGCTAGCCCCGAAATTATGACGACACAATGCCGACGTTTCTTACAACAACGTGTTGACATAATCACGCATTCCTTCTCGTTCGTTAGTCGCTTGAAGAGTTGATAGTTTCCTCGCCTTCGTTTTTGTCGCTTGTTTCGCTATTTGAATCAGTTAGAGACCTTAAGTCCATTTGCTTTCGATTTTCCACATTCCTTTTGAGCTCCTCACTTCTTTCCGGCTTCGCATTTCTTAGCCTTAGGCCTCATAATGAATAAGGTTGATGCACTACTTCGCACTCCGTTTTCGCAGCAGCCGCTGGAACAAAAATTAGAGGTACAACGTCTTGGGCCTTATCAACCAAAAAATTGTTCACTGAAACAATCCCATGACGGAGGAAAGCGTCGGCGTACATTCTGCGCAGAAACTTGGTATAAAAAAACACGAATGGTTGTGTTACAGCGAGGACAAAAATGCACTTTTTTGTTTTTATTGCCTACTTTTTGCTACCGCCCGTGACTCACGTTGCTGTAAATTTGGTTTTAGAGATCTTAAACATCTTTCCGAGCGAGCCAGGGATCATCAATCTTCTATGGAGCATCTGGACAATGCAGTAAAATACCGAACATTCGGAAATGTTAATATTGCAGCACAGTTGGATGAAGTACGCGCGGTTTCTATTCGTCGGCACAACCAAAACGTCGAAAAAAACCGCCATGTTCTCGGTCGATCGATAGATGTTTTGAAGTTCATTAGTTGTCACGAGCTGTCCCTCCGTGGGCACGATGAACGGGCTGGCTCTTCTAATAGAGGGGTATTTTTGGATATGGTGGAATACACCGCATCCCTAGATACAGTATTGAGAGATCCTCTTGATGCCGCAACTGTTTCGAAAGGGACATCTAAGGATATCCAAAATGATTTGCTCGACTCAATGTATAAAATTTATTTACAACATTTGGCTCTGGAAATTGAGAATTGCCAGTTCCTTTCGATTCAGTCTGACGAGACAACTGACATCACGTGCGTTTCCCAACTGGCTGTGATTTTTCGGTTTGTGAAAGATGGTAAACCTACCGAGAGATTTCACAGCTTGTACCAATCGTTGATCGCACGGCTTGCGGGATATCGGCTGTACTGAAAGAAGTGTTACAGCCTTACAACGCGAAGTCAAAATTGATAGCTCAAACTTATGACGGCGCGGCAGTCATGAGTGGGTCGAAACATGGTGTTCAAGTTTATATAAGAGAAGATTTTCCTCATGCGCATTTTTTACATTGTTATGCACACCAATTTAACCTCGTTATTAAAAATATGTGTCTTGATACCCCTCTCGTCCGTATATTTTTTGCAAATGTTTCGGGGTTTTCTTCATTTTTTTCCGTTTCGCCGAAGCGCTCTGACCTCCTTCGCCAGATATGTAGCCGTCGTCTCCCAGCTTGTGCACCAACACGTTGGAACTTCCAATCACGCGTGGTGCAGGGCGTGTCCGAAATTAGGTCTGAGCTCATTGAGTGTTTCAATGGCATTCAGAGCTCTCCGGTTTGGGACGAACGCTCTATGAGGGAGGCGGCAGGTCTAAAGCGTCTGCTAGAAGATGGTGAGTTTTCATTTTTTCTCGCTTTTTTCTCCACAATATTCTATCACGTGGATGTATTATACGGCGCATTGTAGTCAAGGCTAATGGATGGAGCGTCTGTGCAGTCGTGTATTTCAGACTTCTGCGATGCTGTATCTCGTATCCGGGAAACGATAAAATACGACGACACATGGAGTGCTTCTTTACGCGGCGGGCAAACAACGCAGCGTTTGATTTTGTCTGCAAAGGAATGCTGTGACATTCTGGTGAATTAAATAGGCGATCGTCTGCGCGTTCTCTTTGATGGACCCCAAAAATTTTTCAAAATTTGCACGTCAATTTCCCATCCATTTGTTGGCTACTGTCTCCAAATTTTACCCATGATAAACGTGGGTAAATTGGAAAATGAATTGATATTTTGTGCCCACAAGCAGAATGCATCTGAAAGCGCGCTATCGATGAGAAGTATGCCCATACAACACCTGAATCCAATGGCAGGTTTACTGAATCTTAAATCTGCGCTAGTCTACACACAGCTTAGCTATAGTATATATATATGTATATCTGATAGGAACTGTAGTCATTTTTTTTTCTAATTATAAGGCTGGGGGATAATTGAAAAGTTTGATGATACACGATTATGTTAGCGGACATTCTCGAACCCCTTGGACATATCCACTGAACCTCTGGGGTACGTTCGAATCCATAGAAATAAGGCTATAGAGTATAGGCTGTTTAAAAATAATGATGTCATTTAAGCTACTAATGCATTAATTCAAAACCTACAACATATAGGAGACATATTTTTAAAATTGACACAGTTTTTATTGCTGCAGTATTCTGTAAAAGTATTTACAGGGAGAACAAAATATAGAGAAGAAATAAAATAGGAACTTGTAATCAACGCTGAACAATTATATGTGTTTTAAATACCAACTACAGGCGTTAAGACGAACGATAAACAAACATTTTATCCAACTAACTGACATTATTAGAAATTCAGAGTTTGCAAACTGCACACGATTTTGATACAATATGATCATAGCAAGGTCGCGTGCATTCAATCATAAATAAAGGAGATTGATTTTTTAGTAAGGTAACCATTGACCACTAAATTGCCAAGAGCTGCGGTGGCTATATAGAACAAGAGAGCTATGCTCAAATATATGGACACGTAGCGCCACCTAATGGCAATAATTTTGATGACGTCATAGCAAAAAAAAAGTAATACCTTCTGAAGAAAATTTTTATCTTTAACTACTGAAAATTTCAAAGCAATTGGTCCAGTAATCAAAGAGAAAAGCGACTTTTTTAAAATGTGTCAAAGAACAAGAACAACAACAACATATTATTGAAACGATCGTTGTGTCCATTTCGTGTCCAATTATAGCGTGGTATACCGCGTTGGTGAACACCACTTGACGAGGTACTTGAGGCAGTTCTTGTCAATGCGATCAGGAAAACTGAGACGAAGTATCATAACCGAAGGTCTGAAAAACATTATGGCACATGTACACTGACATTAAACAGCTTGAATATTCCAGCCTGACAGCATGACAGTCAATAGATATAAAAGTTAATAGCATCTTTAAAGTTGTTAATTTTTGAATTTCTGGTGCGCGCTGCTACTACTAAGTGTTTTCCTCAATTGTGTTAAGTATCCAAGGAACGAAATAGAAAACATCCGTATAAAACCCTGGATAGGCGACATCGTTGACCTTTGCACCACAGCCGAGTCCCCAACTGACGATGCCAACTTGATACCAACACGTCTCTCCTTCTTTTGATTTGATCTAAATGTGAATAATTTGAAAATAAAATTATATATATGAAATGTGAACTCAAAAGTCAATTGCTTACGTATAAAATGATTTATTGTCGTTCATTCTTTTAACAGCGCTCAAGGTATAATAATGTTTCTACTTTAATTTATTTTAATCAATTCTTGAACTGAACACTGATGTATTATGTATAAAATCTAAAGACATCCATTATTTTGAATCAAGATAGCTTTTTCTGAAGTATCAATGACGCTACGTACCTTTCTCACGAGCGGCCCACCACTATCGCCTTGGCACGAATCCACGTTTTTCTTAGAATTAATTGCACAAAATATGCCAGGAACAAAATCTGGAGCACCGTCCCACGTCCTTCTCATAACACCCAGCCTGTCTTTGCAACTAAATAAGGAAATAAAACTTTTGTCTAGTTATAAATAACAGCAAAACCACATAAAAATGACAATATAACTAGTCAATCAAGCCTTAGAAATTGCTGAAAATTCATACTATGTAGTATTTTTAATTTCCAAAGCTCCTTGCTGAAGTCTTAATGACGTAATAATTCCTGAGAAATCGTCCGGTGTTCGCTCGGTAGTATGTCCAAAACCGGTAACTACTGATGGACTGAAATTGTTAAAGTCCGTACCCGATAACTTGTATTTTTCACCTGAAATAGTTAAACGGGAAACGTATGAGTGTCATGTAAATAATACTTGCCTAATTAGAATATTTTTAGAAAAAGAAACTACTTTGACATCATGCAATATTATGTAGGCCTACAACTTATTATGGCAACTGTAGCTTTTACCATTATTTACATCATACTAAGTATAACGGTTCTACCACCTACTGAATAAAAAAAAATAGGCGACACAAAGATGACCCCCATCCGAAAGCTTCGGTCAAGACAATCTAACAAAAGTGAGTGACAAAAAAGCAATAAGTGCAACGACCATTTATTTTCTACGCTTGGAGTAGATCACGACACACGTCACACGTCATACACTCTTTTGCCCACGACCAGTGACTGGACGGCGCAGAATCATGTATAAAACGTACCTCGTTGAATATGAACATATATATATATATGATAAAAAAATGCAGTTCATTTTATTAAATCAAATCAAGTGTTTTTTATTTTACTTCCTACTTTTTTTTTTATTATCTTCGCTGTCAAATTTGTTTTTATATACTTACCTTGTTTATCACAATCATCAGAGTCAAACTTAGAGGAAGAAAATCGAGAATCTTTGCAGTTGTTTATACACGGTATACATATTGGTCGAATAACCTCATTAAATACTAATACTCCTACTGAATTGATTATAAAATCTTCATTTTTGATAATTAAGTTATATCCCAGCTTTATCTTAAAACAAAAAATGAATACAGCAGTAAGATTCCTAGCTGAGATAAATGAGCTCATTTTGTTTAGAGTACAATTTTGTAAATCAATAAAATTTAACCGCGATACAATACACTGGAGACCTTACATCACATATCATCAAAGGTAGTAAACTTTTTATTTCTGACAAAGAAAATTTGCGTAAAAATCAAGAAAGATTATATGTACTTCCTATACAGCCTTTGTAGTGTACTTACTAATGCAATATCGTTTTTCATATTATGTAGTGTAAACTTTTCATGCATTATAATTTTATCCGCATCATAGTATCTTTCAGTTCCAACTTGCTCATCAACTAATCGAATTTCAGTTATTCCTGGAATTCGACAAAAAATTTTAATGATGTTCGAGAATAAAAAATAGTAATGAATAAATAATAATAATATCATTTTTTTTTGTTATAAACGGAAATCTAGATTCCAGATATCTCTCTCTAGTACAGTGGTTCCCAAACTTTTTAGAGTTGGGACCCACTATTTATTACCACAGCTTATGACGACCCATTTAACTTTTTGTGACATAACAAAGAACACAGCAATGGCTAATCATCGCAAAACTACCGTGTTTCCACAAAAATAAAAACGAGAACCTGGAAACGAGACCTATTTTGAATTTTAAAAATGATTTCAATTAAACCCTACCCTAGAAATAAATTTAAAATGTGTGGCAGAGGAAAGGTTCAATGACCCGAGGTAAGGTGAAGATTATACCACTATTCGAGATTGTGTGATGTCACAATCACAATTATGACATTTGTCACTTGGTTTTTGTATGGGAAATACGAACAAAAACACGAGATGTCGGTTTTTATATAATGTTTGTTAAAAAATCTCTCGATTTTCTACAATGTAATTTTATTTTCGATAAATGAACACAAAAAAACCTCTTTCAAAAAAGAACATAGTGTTATTCTTCGAAATAAAATAAATCTAAATCCTGTCTTAATTTCGGGGAAACACGGTAAGAAGTGCTGTACAATGTACAAAACTGCTATGCGTAAAAAGCCACATGGTCATTCTTTGTGTAGCGAATTTTTGTTCCTTTGAGAAGATCAGGAAAAGGGAACTTTCACAGATTAGAATTTAAATTCAATTTGATTTCTTTTGTTTTTTTGAAGTTTTACGTATTCAAGTCGCCACCGATTCTAATCATCGGTACATTTAATCAAAGCTTTTTACATCTTTTCACGACCCACTAGGATACCCTTTGCGACCCACCAGTGGGTCGCGACCCATACTTTGGGAACCGCTGCTCTAGTAACAACCCCCGATACGAGACTAAAATTTTTTTTTCTTTATATATAAAGTGGTGTTTGAAAGAGTAGAAAATAAAGAGAAAAGACAGAATGAAAAAAAAAAAGATGATAATCATTCGACTTGTCCAAAAACATTATACTGTATAAATACTGACCAGATTTTCTACAAATCCAATATTGTTCACGGTTTTTATAGCTTTTAAATATTAAAATATCGTCTTTGAAATACAATTAATTTGTTCAATAACCTTCTCTAATTAAAACATACCTATTGCAAATATAAAATTCTTTTGCCAATTCTTCTCTCTTCGTTTTGCTGAATCGAAAATATGAGATGCTGTCAGCAGCCAACGATTATTAAGTATGGACGCTCCACCTCGAACGTTGTCGAAAGTCTAAAAATAAAAATAAAATTCTTTAAAACAAAAAAAACTCAATATATAGTGGGATGTATACAGATGGACGATTCGATATTTTACTTATTCTGATTCTAGTATTTTTCGATATAGACAAACTCTAGAATTTTTGTTACAGATCTTCTTATCTGCTATTTTATATAATTATACAATCCAAACATATCGTCATCATTTGTTATATTTGAGTTTTTTCTTTTGTTTTCGATAACAATCGAAATTAACAGAAAAGCACGTTAAAATTTTTCCCTTTGATTCAATATTTGAAAATTCGTATTATGGCGATAAAACAATATGCGTATATTCAGTATATTTACAATAAATCAAATTTAATCTATTATAACCGTTCCCCCTAACCTGACTGACTGTAGACTTCTTTTTTAGAACAACAACTTGCCATGGCCATGCACCTTCTATTGCATTTGTTCCTTCAATTACTCTAAGCACTTTAATTTTGTCTATACGATCAACATCACCAGCGATACCACATTTTGTGTAATCAACTGCAAAGTAATAAAATAATATTAAAGATAAGTAACAAAATGGCATTCCGTAATAGGATGTTTGTGGTAAATGGAAAGGTGTGGGTACGTCACTAATCTTCTATCTTATTTTGTATGTTTTTTTAGAACAGATGGATTCAAGATACGGCCCGCGGGCCATTGGCCCGATGAACCCATTTACGTGGTCCGTGAGAGGTTGATATTCTATTAATTTTGATACTGTTTCTTATTTTATTTGTAACGGTACCAACCTTTGGCGTTTTCGGTCTTGTGTTGTGTGACTACGTCACACTGGGGTGAAGATTCGTCCGACAAGGATTCAAGAACGCGTTTTTTTTCGGTGCAGTGTAGTGATTAAAAAAGTTACGACAGGTATTCCAGTTAGGGATTTGTTCAAAAAAAATTGTTTTAAAACAATTGTTTTAAATCAAGTTTTTTTGCCTGTTTTGTTCAAAATGGCTGTACTATTTGATTTTTGTTTTAAATAGGTTGAAGAAAAATGAATGTAAAAACTTGCCAAGCGCTTCTTATTTGCAATAAATTTTTCAAAACGCCACAAATATCGACAGAGGCTCATGCACACCTTCTCAAGCTGTAGTTCAGTGGTTGGCGCAGTAAGACGCAACCGATAACGTAACGCCATTACGTAAACGACCCTGCGACAAAATCACCTTGCGAAAATTGAAATGCGATCGAATAAATGAGTTTGTTTAATCTTGAAAAACTCTATCACTTCAATCTTAAAAACAAAGCTTGCTAAGCATAAATTAACCGAACGATATTAACCGTAATAATGCCTTCATATTACGAGAAAAATGTCAATACATGAACTCGAGATCCACATCATGGCGTCATAACAGATTAGTTGAGGCGTCTTTGCATCAGAGGACTCTAACAATTAACATAGGCCAGGCTAGGGTGTCTCATCCGCCGTCGATAAAAGCATATTCTTCATGATCGCAACCCACTCGTTTTGCCGAAGGCTGCCATCCCTCTAACTGATTTTGTAGTAGGCCTGTGAGCAAATTTTCATGATTTTCTTACTCAAAACGTCCCTTTGATATCACGGATAAACATCCCGGTTAAAATCTTATGATTTTTGTGGAGATACGAAAGTCGCGATAAATGTACGCAATAGAAGTAAAAGTCAAAATAGCAATTTTTACTTACATTTTTAAAATTATAATTCATGCTGCATGTACAGCTGCCCAAATGCAACGTTTTGGCGTAGTTTCGCGGCCATGTATTTCAATACAAAATACAGAAAAATTTGATTTAAAACAAGCCCTTATTTTAAAACACGATGTTACTTCTTTATTCAACACAATCACTAAATGGTTTGCCAATGTGGGCGCCACTATTGTACAAAACCAATTTGCTAGTTAGTAGTTACGATACCATTGTGGATCAATTAATTGTTAAAGTCCGTATTGTCTTCGGGTAAAAATATTTATCAAAAAATGTCTCTAGAGAAGAAACATTCAGCGAAATACAGAGTTTAAAACAGTGGCTCGCCGAATGGACGACCTATAAGAAAATCAGAAGTAGAACAAGATAACAAGCAATCGTTGATTCCAAACGAGCCTACTACGAAAACGATTAGCATATTTTAAAAGGAGCTATTCATATTATTGGAGTTGCACGAATATGTAAAATTATGCATGAATCGATCTTTAGTTTGGCATCACGTATCTCTTTGATCAGTTCTTTAATTGAAATACGCCCTGGCAAGCTCAACTTCGAGTTGCTATAAACTTGTTAGTTTTCCGATGACCCGGCCTCTCATAACTAAAGTTTTACGCTTTGACCCATAGCGATACGCACGTGCACGCCCCTGTTATAAAACGAAACAGGATATTTCTTACTTGTTTTAGGTTTTGTTGGCAAAGGTGGCGGTGGAAATGGAGGCGGAATGCTTAATTTTCTGGCATCGTCACATGTCACGTCAACGTAGTCCAGTGACCAAGTAGAAAAAGGTTTGCAAGTGATTGTAGCTACTTCGTATCCAGAACACGTCAGAACAGCCTGTAGTTTAGATAATAGTTAATTAATAAACAGATTTTCTATATTCTGATAATATGATGAATAAAGTCCATATGCTCTCATGTATATGTGATGAACTTTCTAAAGCTAAAGTTATGATCCTGCCAAATTTTCCTGCCAACAGCAGGAAGCAGATACTTGGGCGCGATTCCATATTTAAAATAATGGAGGCAACTAGAACAAACGCTTTCTTAGCGATGGAAAATCAAAGCAGCATATAGAAGTACCTCATCTCCTGTCGAAAATTGGATAAAAGCAACGTCGTCTTTATGACCTTGCAGTTGAACGCCAGTTTTAAGTAAATAGGTATCTAGTACGCAACCTCTGTCTGGAACAAAAATATATGAAAATATTATTACGAAATAAAATTATATCGTAAATACTTTTTTATTTTCAATACCCAAATATCCCATTGCAAATGTAGTATGAAAACAAGTAAAAAATTTTAACGCATCTCAATTTTTGATTTACGAATAAAATTGATCCCGGGATTGTTTGAAACCATAAACTTTTCGACGGATTTTAAATTTTCCTAAATGTATCTATCAGTCAAACATAGGATTCTTCCTAATACATCTGCTAAAATTTTAATTGAATAATGCAAAAGCGAAAAGTTTTCCACTACTATAGCTAATTCAGAAAAGTTTAAATTTAATGTTTTTTTTTTCTGTACTTTATTTTTATTCATGCTGATAATAAGTGCTGAAATTCATAAATTTGAGGTCATTGATTTATTGTTATCACAAAGTAAAATGTGGATTTATAAATTTTTCTTTAAGAAGAACGCTAACCTTTGCATGTTGGTGGCGGCCCTGACCATTGACCAGTAGCTCCGCACCAAATAGTTCGGAATCCTAATATTTTGAAGCCTATTTGACAGGAAAACCTTGCGTATGTGCTTGCTGAACTGTATTCAACTGTGAGATATTTGGATAGATTGATGAGTTCCGGACATCCTGAAAATAAATAAGCATTGACGTGGTAAATTCTTTTTTGTGCCAAAAAAATAGGATTTTTCCTTCCACGTAATAAAATTCGAATATATATTGAAAATCTTACGAATATCTTTAAGTTTTTTCAAGTTTCATATCGATCGAACACTCGAAGAATGTTTTTTGTGAACAATCGAAATTTTTGCCATATATCAAATATATGCATATATTTTATTATGATGAGTGCGCGTTGTTTTTAGTTGTAACTTATTCATGCTTGCAAGATAAATTCCTGGAGAATGATTTTTTACCAGTTTTGTATTTCAACACAAGCTTTCCACCTTATCCCGAATGTCACTGATGTAGCTTAGCTATTCCGCACCTTGAAGTTTACCAGAGTTGGATGCGTATAAGTCAATACAAAAATGTAAACATTTCATAAATGAATATATTATGCTGTTGACCATATTGTATTGTATTTAATATTCAGAAGAATATTTTACAAATCTTGTGTTAGAATTCGATGTGATAATTACCACATGTTGGTGTGGGATTGTCCCATACGTTCATCCCAACGCATTTCAGTGTCTTCGATCCGTGCATATGCAAGGCTTGCCTTTTGCATCTGAATGTTATTGTGGATCTTATTGCATAAATATTGTCACCTTGGAGACTGCTTTCTATAACTTGGACACTCTTTGAATAAGGTGGCAGATTACAAAATTGCTCTGTTAAAACAAAAGGTATGCACAATATATACAGGGTGTCTCAAAATTAAGTATACACTTTTAATTTTCAGAGCGTTCATTTTATTCGGAAAACATAAGTAGTCGAATTTAGTTATTGTTTGAATTTTTACTGACCCACAGAATGACAATGAGTTTAACCCAACAAATGTGATGCGAAAAGCATATAAATCAATAAAAAAACTCAACACCTCCTTAACAGAAAATTTGTGATTTATTCGGCTCTGAATGCTTCCCTCGGACCGTCCGCTGCTTGTTTTTACTGATTTTTGTGCATCAACTACAGATCGAGTTTCCATAAATTTACGATGAATTGGCCAAAAAATTTCGTCGTGTAGTAACCGTATTAATATCAAATTCCCTGTTAAAGTAGCGCTCAATTTTCCTATTGATTTATATGCTTTTTGCCAAACAGCAATTTAGCATCTCATTTGTTGGGAATCTCCTTGTCATTCTATGGGTTGATAAAAAATGCAAATATTACCTAGATTTTACTACTTATACATAGTATGTTTTCTAAAGAAATGAACGCTCTACGATGAGTACCTGAAGAGAAAATCAAAATTAAAAATGTATACTTACTTTTGAGACACCCAGTATAGTCCTTCGAAGGAAATAAGCAAATGTGTATATAGCAAAAGTAATTCAAATACAGCATATAAACGTCCCGACAAAGAACTTGCATTGAAGATAGTTATACAAGATGACCCCAATTAAAACCATTACGTTTTTATGCACTTTTATTTGAATTAACTTGTACATTCGCCAGTAACCCTGGCGAATGTACAAGGTAATTCAAATGCCCCCTGCGCGGGAAAAAACGGTACAATACTTCACAATACCCAATATCTGGTAGGTCCTACTGAGGTAATATAGTAACATACCTAAACATTTCGGCAACTGATCAGACCATTCACCGTTATCCTGACAATTCAGCTCAGATGCTCCTTGCAATTGGAAACCGGTTTTACAAAATATAACAATGAAAGTTCCATCTCGATACTGACGCATGTTGGATCCTTCCGGCGCTGTTAATGGTTTGCATTTAGTTCTGCTAGGTCCTGTTGAAAATAGAAGAGAATAAAAATTTTGTGATAATGTTGCTTCATGGGATGTTATCATCAATGCCTCGTGGGTTAAACATCATTTCTGAAGTACATGAGTAGTCGTTTGAAATTCAGCTAGCGTTTATTTGAGCAAACTAAGCGAACCGTAAAATGCCAGAGATTTCAGAAACGAATGCAAAGGCCAGTACCTGATCTAGACACAAGATGGATGCGTCTTTATTATATATAATTTATGTAAAGTGTAACTGAAAGATCTATAGCGGTTCTCAAACCGTAGGGCGCGCCTCACAATAGGAGCGTAGACAACTTTTGAGGGCTCTCCAGAAGTATGTGCATCAAGATGGCGGACACCGGAACGTAGTATGTGTACCAGGTTGGGATTAGGCCATAATTGTATTCCAATTTTCCCCTATTTGAGTTTTATTACGAGTTTGGGGACTAGCCAAGTGACTCTTGTAGTATTTGTGCCTGAAATTTTAGCCTAATTCTAACCAGGTACACATACTACGTTCTGGTGTCCGCCATCTTGGTTCGCATAGTTCCGGAGTAACCTTTTTGAGGGAGTGGAGATAATTAAAAATAAGACTATTTGTTAGATTTGAACTTTCCCGATTTATTTTGGTTTCAAACCTTTTTATTTATTTTTTCATTATTTACACTTCATCCACATATTTTCAACGTATTTTTAAATTAAACACTTTCGCCTTACTATTTGTTATTTGTAGCTTATTGTTAGGGTTAGCTAGTTGTAGCTAGTTCTCTTTGAGGTGGGGTGCAAGACTTGACAAATTCTAAAAAGGGTGCGCGGCTTAAAAAGTTTAAGAACTTTCCATGATGCTCTGGCACAGGGGTGGGCAACTTCTCTAGATGTGAATGTGGGCCAGATGTGAAAAATCAAAGCCCTCGGCGGGCCGGATTATTACAAAAAATACTTCGGTATCCAATCTTTGTTAATTAAATGCTCGACACTCTCTGTCAACTTTACGTTTCTTGGGATATTCCATGGTTAATGAAACTTGATATAAAATCTAATTTCTAGAATCTTTTTATATTTAGGTTTCAAATATAACTGATAACAGTAGTGTGGAATGTTTACAACGCTCTCTGCTCTGACCTTATATTGTTTGTTTAACAAGTGTGCTAACGCAATTGTTTGTTTACTAAGTCAATTGTTTATTTCACCAGCTCGCACTGACAGTAGAGCGATCGGCAACTTTCATGAATGATGCGTCGGACCACATTACAGAGTGTGGTTGGATACAGTCAGCGGGCCTGTCAAAATCTCGTCGCGGGCCGGACCCGGCCCGTGGGCCGTATGTTGCCCACCCCTGCGGGCAGCATAAATAAAATCATACGAATAAAACAAAAATTGTCTACATCAATGAATACCTGCAAATATTCGTGAACTGTCCGTGGTAGTCGTGGGAGTAGTAGTAACTGTAGAAAGAGTAGTTGGTATAGCAGTGGTAGAGCGACATTGTACCTTACTGTAATCTACTGACCACCTTCCGTCATCGCGACATCTTATGGACCTCACTATCCGATCATAACATTTCAGATTTATCTTATAAAACAAAATTATTGAAAGAATTAATGTTTAAATAATAGCTTATTCCAAATTTAGTCTATACAGCATTTTTGATAGAACACGGTTACATTTTTTTCATTTTCGTATTTTTCTCTAAAAGCTATCCATTAGAGAATAAATTTAATTAATAAATTTATATTCTCGCCTCCAAGGAAAAGTGATAGCAGACATTGATAGTATATAAGGCTATGTATGAAGCGCAGAAAGTTAAAAGAAATTCTCTTCTAGCCGCTTGTAGCGGTGTCTCGAAAATGTCGTGTCCCACATGTGTCACTTGTTTCACATTGCCCTGGTACAAGTGAAATACGTGGGACAAGTGAGACACGCGGAGCAGGTGGGACAAATGGCAGAATGTCCCAAAAGTTTTTTTTTTATAAAGAATTGAAGAAATACCGGATAAGTGTCGATTCTCGCACTTAAACGTTCTTGCTTAATAATAAATGTATATTTTGAGTTTATTATTACTATTATCTTCATAATAGAACATAAATTTAACATTGCTATTATCAACATTTGCTTTTCCGAAAATAATAACTTATACATATCAGTACTTTTCCTCCTTTCTTTTTGATAATCTTTTCTTTCTTGTCGTCGTAGTTTTCAACAGTGACTCGGTTATTCAAATAGAATTGATCAAGTATGCATTTCCTCTCTGAAATATAATGCAATTTTTAATAGTTCGCATTGCTGTAAACAAGGTGCGCAGCAGCCACTTTGAGGCAGAGGGTTGAAAAAGTTGGACTGACTGTAATCTCTCTGATTAGGCATATATAATCTCGTTTGTGTTGGGTTAGAGTTCATGACATGGGCAAACTACGGTCTGCCCTCACATGACCCGCCAATCTAGGTGCCAAATTTTTGTCCCGTGGTTCAAAAACCTTGCCAACCCCTGGGTTAGACGCTAGTCTAACAATGATTTAATTAAAATAGGTATTTCTAAAGTGCAATGCCAATAAAATAACATCATTTCATTACCATCGCGCTCATTGGTGAATAAAACTATTTGTTGTTTCTTACCTGGGCGTGCACGGCACGAAGGAACATCGGCTGACCATTTCTGAGCTTCGTTGCAAAATATTTGTTTCTCACCCAATAGAATATATTTTTCTTCGCAGTTAAAAGTAACTGTGGAATTTATTAAACGAAGTCTGTCTGTCCGCGAGTATGAGGCAACAAGATTGGAGGGTAGTGTAAGTTCCGGACATTGTATTGCTGTGAATTAATGAAAATTAAAATAGAATATGGAGTTGATAAATTTTTTGAGACTTCCGGAGGTTAGGCTACATGACTGTTTTTAAGGATCAAATCCAGATATGATCCGTGCTTTCTACAATCATTACATACACACCGGCTGTGGAATTTTATCTCATAATAGTGCAATACGTTGGGTGTCTCAAAAATGTCATGTCCCCGCGTGTCCCACTCGTCCCCCATGTTTGTCCTAATTGTCCAACGTGTATCGCTTGAACAACCATTTTTTCATGTCTGTTCCAAACAATCCAGATGATAATTAAATATTATATATCAGTATCGGAATACCGAAAATTCGGTATTTTCAAATATCGGCGTCTCGATATCGGATCAGCGATGAAAGCGGTATCGGTGAATTGAAAAATATTTTTTTATAAATAATAATTGCAATACTTTAATTCAATCAGGTGTAGTTCACTTATACGCCAATTTTCACCACCTTGAAACAAGTAGGGTATGTTTGGAAAGTGAGACACGTTGGACACGTGGGAGAAGTGGTGCAAGACATGTTCAAGACACCGCAATACGCCATCACATAGATAAACAGCTGAATGAAGAAAAACCAATTTTTTTGTCTGAATTAAAAATATGACCAGAACCATAATATATAAGGCTTTTGACCAAAAGCTAGAACAAATGTAAAATCTAAAATACAATCAGGAATATGGAGAATAAACAGAGCATACCTTCGCATGTAGGCGCACTGGTAGACCAGACGTCACCTTCTTCACATTTCAATATTCTACTCCCAATAAGTCGATATCCAGATTTACAGAAAAAAGTTGCAAATTTGTTGTTCGAAACAGTCATTTCGGAATTTGGATTTGCTGTCAATCTGGGACAATTTGCAACTGGAAAAAAGTAACTTGCGTAATAAATTGAATGAATCGAAGATGGAAGTTTTTTTTAAATATTGTGTATATGTTATAATTATTAATTATATATTTTATTACCTCTTTGGCAAACGATATTCAGTTTTGACCAAACGCCGTTTTCCTGACAGAACGCATAATCTTCCTTCACTACATTTTTGTATCCTGTAATGATAAATAAATTCGTACCGTTTGACAATGCAATTGAATTTTGGCATATAGTCTCCCTATTCTGAATCATTGTCTTCTTTATATTGGTCACTACGTGAGTTGATTTGTTTTTTGATACACGTGATTTCGATGTAGAAAATGGGTTTTGTGAATGTAAGAATTATCCTTAATTGCCAATCCGAAAGTTTATCAGAGAATGTTTTAAAAATAGTTATAATAATATGTCTTGATAGTCCCTCAACAAAATGATAAAAACATTTTACATACCGCTAAATTAAAAATATTGCCTGGTGCTAAAACGAGTTTATACAAACATTGTGAAGTGGAACGATTTTCGATAATGAGCAATGAATTCAATAAAATCGATAAATAAATTCAATCCAACTTCCTCAGACCTTCTGCACACTTATAATGAGCTTGCAGTATTCCGCTTTTAGACGTGTCGATTGTTGGTGAATCTGCAGATATTGATTTATCGGAAGATTTTGGAGGTGTTCCACATTTATTTTCCACACAACTATGCCGAGGTGTAGACCAAGTGTAATCTTCATTGCACTTAATTTTTGAATCTCCGAGAAGAATGTAACCTTTGTATAAAATAATTACATACTGTATCATTAATATTTGTAACCAGTATATATCAAAAATATAATATAATGTAATATAATTTATAATACATATAATTATAAAAGTTTAAAAAGTAAAATACTACACGTAATTATAGTAGGATTGAATATCCATCCTTTTTGAAAACTCGGTTTTGATTGTTGTAAATACAGAGGACGAATACAGAATACTACCGACCATATTCACAAACGTGGTGAACAACATCTCCGACATCATATCCTAGTTTTAGTGATATTGCAAGTGAGTGATGGATGATGTTCGTCGGGGGCTTACATCCACCTTAAAAATGAGATTATTTGTTGATATTACGCATGTAACATAAAATGGTATTATAAAATAAAGCTATATGAAAAACATACCTACAAATTGTGTCTAAACAATTGGCGAGAATATAATATGCTAGAAAGCAATTCTCACATATATGGACATAAAAATGGCGCAACGGTACGGGTATGGTAAATCTGCTTATCTGAACACTGATTTTACCGCACAGATCGTCGGCGAAACGTGACGGAGGCAGACAATCGTGACGTAATTTTATGTGTTTCCATCCCCAAATAAGTATCCTTTTTAATTGAAATAAAACTTCGAAAATTTCAGGTGAGACATTTGAAAATGAAATACTCACGAATGCACGTTGGTTCAATGCCAGACCACTTTCTATCAGTTCTGCATTTCTGGAATATGTCACCGTAAATATAATAACCTTCCTTGCAATCGTACTGTAATTTTTGTCGTCTATCTCCATAATATTTAGCAATTTTTGGATAATAGACTGAGGGAAGATAACAATCTGCATCTGTCAATAGGAGGATAAAACTGCATATAGGCACAAGACTGCTGTTGGCTCATTGCGGATCCAGTATAGGAATAAATGAACCTTTTTGAAAAATAATGTAGAATCGATTTCCCCCTTACCTGTCTATATATATATATATTATTGTTCGATTTGTCGGTAGTTTAATCGTTATCAGCTACAACGACTTACTGTATTTAGGTAAAGGGTAATCCTGAAGTATTCGCACCACGATGTCGCACAACCTGAATCCTAACCTGTTACACGACCTGAGTTCAGGTGGTGCGCCATCTTGGTACGCATACTTCAGGAGGTCCAATTAAAGTTTATTTCTTTTAATACAAAAAAAGTAAGAATATCAAAAATATCAATCGCGGAAAGGTAATAGCTGCAAATTAATATTGGAAAGAATATAAATTACTTTAGCTCAAAGTTTATCAAATTATAAATTACTTGGATTGAAGCAAGATCGACCACAGTGGTCATCACAAAGACATTCTTTCGATTTCGCCTTGCAGTCCCATTTCGACGAGCATGGTTTCCTACACTTTCGTCCTGCTTCAACTAAATGAATGTTTTTGGTACATTTCTCGTCACCTGTCGCAAAAGGAGATAATGTTTATTCTATAAAATTAGGTGCAAATACGTAAAAAATATGGAGCAAAAGCGTGGGAACAATTTCAGTAAATCATTTCACAATGTAGTCAGATTGATATTATAATTTCTTCTCACTTGGTATAGCACATGTATTATGGAGGTGAAGCAAACGTACTTAAACTAATACTGTATGTCAAATTCTGTATTTTATATTGTAAAGAACTTTACTCAATCATTAAAATTATAGGCAACAGTTTATTGATTCAACTACGGGGAACTAAAGTGAACATAATAGCTGTGACTATAAAATCTGCATATCCGTAAGCTGTTTTATTCGTTAAATTTCTATTTATTTATTTGGGAAATTTGGGAAAAATCTGAAATGTTGTTGGATAAATCTTAAACTACGTTCGAAACAAATGAAGTGCTGTAAATGTCACTGAGTTTATTTTCGTTTCGAAGCAGTAAACTGAACAAGGCCCAAGGCGTTAGGGACTTTCTGACATAAAGTATACATCTGCTATAAATAGAAAACTCAAATGACGATTTCTATTGGGGCATCATAGGAAAATTGCTCGTTTGCATTGGTTGGATAAACGTTTTCAGTAATTAGGAAAAAGGAATACCTATGTTTTCAACGATCTTCATAGCTTGCCGACATTCTGCCATTGTTTCGCAACATTGTGTTGAACAAGCAGTTAAGTCCACGTCGTAAAATCCAGATGCTACGAGGGCGACAATATTTTCGCAAGAAACTGAATTGCACTGCGCTTTTGGAATACATGAAGCTGCTATAAGACGTTCACCTAAAACAAAAACAATATGAAAAAATGATTACAATATTATCTTAGGTGTAAAGTATTCAGGTATTGTGTTCTGTAATTCAAATAAGTAATACATTTCCAAAGTTACCCGAACAGGTTTGAAAAAATATTCATCACTTTTATAATATACAGCGTTTTCACATATATTTTAAAGAGAACAGATCATATTTCAAATACTGATATAATTAATTCGAATTTACGTCTATCAGATGATTGCCCCTATATCTTATTGTAAAAATGTCCACTGAAATTATGCATAGTATTCCTTTGATTCTTTTTCATTACGTGTGGCAAAAAGCTCCATTGCGACAGTCTTTCGTAAAGCATATAGCTGCATTTAGAAAATAAATTGTTGATATCTGTTACAAACGTTGCTAATATTTATTTTAAAGGAATCTCAAATATTATTTTTATTCAAATCAAAGTTTTATTGTTTTTTACTTTTTCATATTTTTTCACATTGACATACCTTTTTTTTAACTTGAATATTTTAAATACGATTACACATTGAATATTTAGTGTAACATGTGCAATAATACTTTAACATTCACATATGTTTAGAATCTGCATAACGTCAGAATTTCGTTGTATCTAACTAAAAAATAATAAGGTCAACTCGAAAAAAAATGAAACAAGGAATAATTTCTAAGATGCAGTACTTTTATTAGGTTAATCTATTTTAAAATAAACTATTTCATCTGATATCAGAGGCATTCTATTGGTGATGATTCTTAGAAAACACCTCATTTACCTCCAGATTGCAGTTTGAAATCTTTCATAACAAGACAGCTTTCATCTTTTGAACATTTGACTTCAATTAGGTCATGATCTTCATAGTCAATAATAGAATTGTAAATATGAATTCCACGAGGGCAGGAGGCCAGACCTATTTTGGGTAAAAAAAAAATCTTTTACCTAAATGAACTGAAATTGCGGATTATGTTTCAAATTCACAGATTACAACTATGAGGCTGTAAGACAAGTCGATGACGTAGAATCGTGCACAGATTGTGTGAAAGTGATCCAACTGATCACTCTCATTAAGATATGTTTTCTGCATTGTTCCAAACTGTTCTCATGTTTCGAAGGAAATTTATAAACTATTTTTTTCTACAATTATATATTCTCAGTGTTCTGATATAACATTTATACTACAGCAAGCTTTTGGTAAGGAATTGTGTATAATCGCCACAACAAAGCGCAAATCAGGATCAAAAACTTAGCTGCCATGGTGCCTTTTTTGTGTGTGTGATCAGTATGTAGGCGTCATCATTGAGACAACTTGACATAGCGATTTTTCATAAAAAATGTATGAAAAAGAATTAATAAATAAAAATCAAGAAAATATAAGTTATTTCCTACTTTGTGAAGTTACATCACCGATGGATCTCGAGCTTTTTCTTGCTTTTTGATATCGAAGTTCAAATGTGGATGAAGGATTGATAACGAAAGCTATCAAACGTATCTTGTTTGTTTTGGTTTCGTATGTTACTTCAAACTCCTCATTGTGAAACACTTGTTCCAAAGATCCATCTGTTAGCTGATATATTTGATGATAGAAATAAGGTGCATTATGTTGTGCCAGAACTTGGTTCAAATGTCGATAATCTCCGTGTTTAAGAGAACCGAAATTTCTCCAGTTCGACACACGTAAAGACTATTATGAGTTTTATTGATTTGAAAATGAACTTTACAGAGCTGAAGCATGAAATCTCTACCACCAGGCTATCGCATCTACAAACGTTAATCAAATACTAAAAGTTTAAACTGATAAGATTTGTTACTTAATTTTTCTGAAATGTTACTTACATTTAATCTGAAAGTCACTAAATTACACAATTTTTGCAATATAAATTGTGGAATAATAAATAAATGTTTTTACGTTAAAAATTTTCAATGCGCATTTGCAACTGACACAGTTGATGAAACAAAACGATTTCATTCCAAATAGCTTCACATACCTCAAACTAGCAGGTTGATCTTTGCTTAGAATAAATGAAACAAAAACAAAAAAACAGCCGCTTAACAATTCTGTCATAAAAATTGTTTTCTTACCCATAACGTATCTGGTCCTGAAAATTTTATGAATGGAAAGAATAAGTTGATAGTTGTGCCTGGATCAGTTTCCAAGTGCCACGTACATGTTAAGCTTTCTCTATCTCGCCTCGACCATGTATTCAGTGATATAGTCTTAGCACCGGCGCTAACTTGCTCATTAAACTTACATTCATCTACAGCAATAAAAAAATACTAACTTCAGGAGCGGAATTATAGAATAAGATCCCTAGTTTTGTGAGTAGAATTTTTAGTAAATTTGCAATTATACCAATAGCATTTGAAGAATGCATAAGTTTCAGGAGGGTCTAAACTAAATGAATTGCTTTGTCGACGTTGTCCGACAAAGAAAAGGCTCCTAGAATAATAATCTTTTATCATATAAAATTTGGCGAATATAAAAAATTGATGAAATAAACCTAAGATTCATGAACGAATAAGTCTACTATTAATAAATAAAAACATACCTTCTCCGTTTATCTTCAACGTATTCACAAAAAGTAGACATCCAGTAAAAATCAAATTAATGCAATTCATCTTTTCTTTAAAAAAATGACTGATGTGAAATAAATATTACCGACAAATAAATTTTATTCAGATGGCATGGCGGAAAAATCAGGCATAAAAGTTTGATGTTGTATTACAGTAATCAAATTATCCAACGGAAAATATGTTCAATTCATTCTACTGCAGAAATTTACTTCCCTATTTTCACTCAGAAGATAAATTCTTTGTCCATTTAGTTATTTTTCAAGTGACAATTTACCAAACGTAACCAAATGTTTCACGAACAACGTACCTAAATATTACATATTCACTCGAGTTATAATCGAATAAAAATATTCAGCTTAAAACATCATCGTAATCTTATAACTGGTTCCGTGACGTTCAATTTCGTATTGTGAGTTATATTTTGCAATTAATTTAAAATAAATCGCATGTAACCTCAAAAGATTCGTATACTCTATTTTGCTGAAAATAGTATTAGACACTTTTCTGTCTGCAGGAATCATATCTTATTGTTTCACTCTACCTGATAATATCTTTGAATAATATCGAATATTTTAGACACAGTAAAAATCAAAACACTCAATCTGCATGGACATAACAATCGTATGAATTATTAGCATTAGGTAAGTAGCCAAGCCTTACTTGTAAAATTAAGAACGCATGCTTGAGGCAATTTACGATTTATCGCCATTAAAATGCAAAACAAATATACTGAAATGTTACAGTAAATCTTATGTAATTAACGGACTTTGCAAACCGAATCGTAAGTTGGCTAAATAGGCAAGTCTTCAAATGGATCTAAATCACCTATACCGCAAACGTGAATAAGCTCTGGAATAAGCTATTATCTATATGGTATGTTTACGAGGTATAGTTGATTTTTCAAATATTTCTGACAGCATGTCTTCGAAACTATGACTTTGGTTTTGTTGTCATACGTGATAGCCAAACTAGAACATGAGTCACGCGACAGTGTTAGTAAAGATCGTAAATTAAATCCAATATTTTTGTCTCTTTATATGACTCTACATTAAAATTATGAGGATATTTTTGCTTCATGTGTAGAATGATTGCAGGTGGTCTATCAACAAGTCAAATAATAATTACCTGTTACAGAGAATTACATATTTATATTTACCCGGTAAGCGAGAAAACCTGATAATTGTTCGTAAAAAATAGCAAAGAATAAAATGTCAATTGAAAAGTGAAAAAAAAATGTTACATCCATAAACAAGAGAGCTATGCTCAAATATATGACCACGTCACAGGGTGTCGCTATTTTTCATTCTGACACATAAAAAAAAGAATCTCTTGAAGTCCACAGAAAATTAACCACTGAAAATTTCAAAGCAATTGGTCCAGTATTCGAAGAAAAAAACGACTTTTCTTTAACGTGTCAAAGAACAAGAACAACATAATATTGAAACGATCGTTATGTCCACTGACGTGTCCAATAAATGAAAGATAGACTCCGAAGTTTTGTCATAGTCAAGTTGGTAGTTTGAATTATAAATGTACCGATTATACTTTTGTCATCGATACCGATACGCCGATATTTCAAAAAGCCGTTATTGCCGACAATATTACGGACGAGGTAAAAAAAAGTTATTGGCGATCTACTACTGTAGACATTCTTAAGCTCGAGGTACAGGTTAATCACAACATGAGAAAAGATTATGTAAATTAATTTGCACAAACCGTCTTTTACTAGACTTATTACTAACGATTTATTAAAATATTTAAATTATTGCATCTTGAATTGCTTTGTAACTTTGTAAATACGCAAGATGCGTCTAAACACTTCAATTGAATAAATTATCATAGTTTTGTAGATGTTTCATTGTGGAGAAGCGCAAGGAATAGCACAGTTCGATTAGTTTTCGATAAAGGTGGGCTTATAAGTTACAACGATACTTCCCTCGCTTTTTTGGCATTCTTATGAGTTGCTTTTCGACAGTTTAAAATTTAGCGGTCGTTCATTTTTATGTGACTTCATTCTAGTCAGTCAAACACAGTATTATGAAAATTTTAGTCGAACTCAGTTGAAGGCAGGAAGGACACTTCTGATACATAGGATGCAACCAAATACAGAGAACACGTCGAATTCTAAATACAACCGTCTGCCTGACATAAAATAATTATATTTTCATTTGACACGATATCTGAAATGACGTAATTTTTTCAATATTGTACAGTATTTATAGTGTTTGCTCATCAACACCAATACATCGCATTAATAACTCACTTCCTCTCAAATCGAGTTTAGCCCGAGTGAGACTAAACTAAACCTATAGAAATAGCCGGGCTTAAGCATGGAACATACTTTTCTGTCCCATCCCCATGGGATTCCTATTGTAATAATAAAATTCATTAGGAATTATTAAATTTATGAAATTATAGGTATAATATCTGCTAAATAAGACATGCAAAACGACAATATTTATTGACTTTATTTAACTTAAAACTTCAGAAGTATTGTCCAACTATGACAAAGAGTATTACGCCCCCATCGCCAAAACTACTCAAAAGAGTTCCCAGTGTTCGGGCAAAGTTCGAGTTACCACTTGAATTGTTTTCTCTTTGTACCTATCTTTTCAATCTTGAAATTTATTCTGATTTTGTATATTGTAGGCAAAGTTTGTAGTCTTGTTTTGTGAAATACTATATTATATACATAAATTAAAACGATTAAAGGAATATTTCATGATTTCCACTTGAATAATATGAACTGAAAAAACGATTGTATTAAAATTTGCATGCATATTCCTTATGCACGATACAAAGATCTAGTTTTCATCTGCAACAAAAAAATCCGTGAGGAAGAATCTATTGTGACATGGAATACAAATACAACATAAAACTCAAGATTGAAATATTCTTGGCCAAATTAAATGTCTATGAAGCCAATAGATTCTTTAGTCTGCCACCCAATATTTTTTTATATGCCAAAGAAGAAATCTGCAAAGATCAATGTTGATGGTAGAGATTTATCTTGGCCCTTTCAAATCTATGTAAAAGTATCTCAAATTGAATCGGTCCATGTATTGTATACCCTGTGATTGATTGATGTTCGTGACAGTCAAAAACCTGGGGAAAAAATCGTCTGTGAAAATAAAATTACGAAATATAAACAATATACAAAGTACATTGCGTTTGAAAACTTTGTATGTATTATACTTGAACTTTACACTAATTTTTCGACGTGAAAATTCGAGTCATTCCATGATCTCAAAAACTTCGATCAAAAAGAAATCAAGCAAAGAACATTAGGCAGCAGTCAATTATTTAATAACTAGGGGGTATGTGTCATTGCGTCTTTTCAATAACTTGTCAAAGAAGAATTTATTGTAACGAGGAATACAATAGCATAGCATAAGTTCTAGATTAAAATGCAATGGGTCAAGATAAATATCTATGATCCCAATATTTTTTAAATCTTCCACCTACTGCTTTCGATATTACAACGAAAAAATCTGCAAAGACCAATGTTTATGACAGATATTCATCTTGGCCATACCAAATCTTTGTGAAAATACTTTAAATTGAATCAGGCATATATGGTATATCGTTTGATTTGAAGCTGATTGTGACAATCAAAGCCAAAGAGAAAGAATTGTCTTTGACGATGAATTTCAAAATATAAACAAAACACAAAGTACATTGCGTTTAGAAACTTTGCATGTTTCATACTTGATCTTCATAGGTTTTTCTGGATTTAGATATTCCAGTCATGCATGATCTCAAAAATTCCGGCCAAAAAGGAATCAAGCAAAGAACATTAGAATAAAAATGTCAACATCCACTTGCTTAGCTATATATGTTATGATCGAACTTGCAGTAAAAAATAAAAATGTTTGGAAGTTCATCTTTTTCTCGTGGCCGAATTAAAACCGGACCGGACTCAAGAAATAACTCAAGAGTCTGGTCAAACTTGCAGGTTAAAACTAAATTAAAAATCATGGATCATCGTCACAGGACGTGACAAGCTATATGTCAGTCCTTGTACTATATTACTGGTACCCCGATACATGTACTGGTAAGTTACCGCATATGATTTTGGGAAGCCTATTATGGGGAATGGTAGACTGCGTTATTTGATCTGGTATTCTGAAAATGACTCGGATCTATTGGTTTACGTTGACACTGAATTCTGAAGAATGGATCATCGTCCCAGGGCCCGGAAAAGCTATGACAGTCCCTGTACCGTCGTGGCACCTCGATACAGGTATTGGTAAGTAGGCTAACGCTAATGCATACTGGTATATGATTTTCGGGGAATGGGTGATAAAATATTTTGTTTAGTCTCCCGTGTTCACATATTTGAGCATAGCTCTCTGTTTATATTTACTCTGATACAGGTTCTATTTCAACATCGGAGAAGAATCTACATGAATCATTCATTTTTTTTATCTGATTGAGCTAATCATCTAAAGAGTTTTCCCTTGAAATAAAAAAAAATAACTTTTTATTGGCTGCAAACTCTTTCCCATTTAAGAAATTTTGCGCCACTGTGCTCATTTTAGAGATTATATTGAACTATGTTGCTCTCAACTTGTCACTCCGAAAGAAGTTTTCAGTCGTCAAACGCGGTTCGGCTCTAAACACTTTTTTTAACAAACACCTGAAGTTGGTTATTCTATTTTCTAGTTAATTTTATTGTTTATTTGATATTTCGCATTAAAGTGTTGCTCACTATAACTGTATACGTGGGAAGTACTACCGCGTAAAAAAACTTGGCAGCATTCATTCAGCTTAAAGTAAAGCCACGCCACGATTTCAAAAACTCGCTGATGGCAAACACGCACAGTTTTTCGCACGTAATTTGTGGAGAAAGAATTTCTATGTAAAAATTAATGTTTTATATTAGTCATTCAATTTTCAATTTTGCGGCCATGAAGTACTATAAGTGTCGTTTAGATTTGGGCATATCCTTGAGTCGCGAGGTTTAGCAAAATTTAATTTTTAAAGAATTTGGGTCGCTTCAAAAAGAGGTTGAGAACCACTGTGATAGACTACACATTTTTTCCATGAACTGCCTTACGTCTTAGCTGTTTTCATGATCGTATTGGCATTACATGCTTCAAGTCTGGTGTTATTTGGTATTTATAAACACTACATTTTCGGTACCTTTTGGCATTTCATTAGTTTTTCGTACCTACGCTCAGAGATCAATATCCCCAAATTCTATGTAAGTGCTCGTGACCTTGATTTAGAAACAAACGTGTGAATAAGACCGTCTGGGACGATGGAATACAAAATATAAAATTCAAATTGTCTGCACGACATGTTTCAAATGTGTATATACAAAGTAAAGCAAAACAAATGAAATCCATAAATAAGGCGCCCAATTTTCATTCCATCAGTTGTGTTCGACCAACGAATGGAAAGACATGGTAGTCCGAAAGAAACCTTTGCGAAATAAAGTCTATCTCAGGCAACTGCTCAATGAGTTGTACTTGACTTTTGTCCAAAGTAGACATGTATTCGCTTTTTTCATCAATGAGGCTTGTAATATTTCTATGGAAATTAGTTTTAAAGGCAGTTTTAAAGGCAATTTTTTAGATGTGAAAAAGATATTTGAAACTGCATAATATCTATTTACAAATATAATGACAATATATTCGGTGAAGACTGTATTTTTTAATTCTTTTTGGTGTGTAGAACTATTTTACTCACATCAAGTTGAAAGAAGAGCATTATCTGCAAATTTAATTTCAAATCAAATATCAATAATTAATTCTTACTACCGATTAAAAATTGATACAACTTTTTTTCTAAGTGTATAAGTATACAGAAATATTGCAACGAGCTATATTAAAATGAAGACGATTTGCATTGTATTATTTGTATCTTTTCTTCTCTTCATTTCATTTGAGTAAGTGGATTATTGTATTTTTGCATCTAATGTGATATAGAAATATACGTAGTAGTAACAAACAAAAAAAGTTGTTATGAAAAATTATTAAAGAATTGTTGTTTTCATTCTTTATCCAAAACAAATTTATATTTTTCTGGTGAGAGTAAATGTTCATCCATTTTAATATGAAGATTATCTTTATAGTGTGATTGTAACTTTGAAGTATCCATTGTAAGAGTTTAATATTAAACCAAATTAAACAACAAAACACCATTTATTATATATACGATTTGGAAGACCAATTTTCTGAATTTATTTGTTATCAGCACATTTTACGAATCAGAAATATACAAATAAAATTGAGTAAATTAACGGACAGGTGTTCGATACACGTAACAATTTCCATATCCATATTGGAGTTTTTATAAATGTTAATTTATGTGTTTTTGAAAGGTTGTGTGCTGGAGGGACATGTAATGGGACTTTTTGTAGAGGGTATTGCTGCTTAATTCAACAGCACCAAGATTATGTTGCGAAATGCCTGACTGTAAGTATTTAAATTCAAAGATAATTTTTTCAAAGCCAAGCACTCGCTCAAGTACTCATCTATGATTAAATATGTACACTCTATAATGTTTTTTATTGCGAGTTTTGTGTATTGAATTTCAGAAACATTCAAATTTTTTAAAAATATATCTCGGTTTTCGGTTTTAATTTATTTCATAAATGCAGTATTATTGTATCTAAAATTTGTCAATACCATTTATTGTAGACCTAATTTCATTTGTCTAGCTTCGAAAAATAGGGCGTTTTTTTTTAATTTGGGATTCTGTCGTAATTCACACAAAAACTAAGAATAATATTTTCTGCTGTCCCAGGTTTGTTAAAGCGTATGACTATTGTTCCAAAATAAACAAAAATTTAATTTCAAAAACGCAAAATTGGGATTTTTACGGTTAGTTATCCATGTCGCATCTGACGTTAATCAGTCTTTTTAGATCTTGAAATATTTGGCCGAAGAAGTTATAACTTAGAATTTTTCTATTAATCCCTGGGAAGATGAAAGTCAATCATATGGCGTATCACACCCTCTCGTCTGGTTACCACTCAATTTCGAGTATGGGATTGGCTTTTTTTGTGGGGTGGGAAAAGCAGCTAAAGCGTTTACGTGACTCATCCTACGGAGGAGAGGGGTTTAGCAATCCTCTCGCACATAATTTGGTACTCCTGAAGTATGTGAACCAAGATGGCGGTCACCGGAACGTAGTATGTGTACAAGGTGAGGGTTAGACTATAATTTCAGGTACAAATACTACGGGAGTCAATTGGCTAGACCCCGAACTCGAAATAGAACTAAAATAGGGAAAATTGGAATAAAATTATGGCGTAATCCCTAACCTGGTACAAGTACCACGTTCCGGTGTCCACCATCTTGGTTCACGTACTTCGGGAGTACCCATAATTATCACCCATGGGATTCGAACGTGCAAATCCACCCAGATTAATCAAGGTGCGATGGCAAGCGTATTTTGAACGCTTAGAGCAATGCGCACTAACAACTATCACAATGATATATTTCTATATTGTATTAATAATTTTATATAATAAATTATAATATACTATTGTTTTTTTAGTCGGAAATTTCTATCTGCTGCAGTGGACGTATGTACTGAGCATGTATATATGTTCATTGGCCTTTGTAACCAAAGAATTGACTATTGACTGGGAACGATGGTGCCGTATTTATTCTATATCTAGAAATAACCACAATATCATTATATACTCAGAGTAAACAAAAACGAAATATATATCTTTAAGTAAAATATCCTTAAAAATTTCAATATTCTTCTTAAAATCAAAACCGGGAATAAAGATTATTGTTTTCAATTTATCTGAACATTTTCAAATGAATGCATTTTTTTGTATTTTGCTAAAGCGATTTGCTTCAATTCTTTCCTGCAAATTTTAGTAATAGACATCGGAAAAATACAATTCAACAATATTGATTTACTTCAGTGTGGGCTGTAGGAAAATAAATAGTTTTGTTACTTATATAAAAGGACCTTGTTAGATCAGTTCAGTCACTTTCAAAATACAAATCAGCATATGATAGGGCATAAATTAATCCTTGTGACAACCAGCATTCAAAGGTGAGGCTGTGATTCCTTGATGCCTGTTATTGAAGATTTATAAGATGATTTAGAAGTATCCGATATTATGCACGCACTTGGTCCATTAGTTTATGGCTTGTTATTGTACTACTAAAACCAACTGTTTGCGAGTACTACACTAAAGTGGGGCGTCTTAGTAGAGCTCAGTAGCAAGTAACTTTTTACTTTGAACATAATTTCCAGTTCCCAATGTTCAACCGTAGCCAAGCAAAAAACCAACGAGGCGTTGTTGCGTTATATCAGGGGTCGGGAATCTTTTTGGTCAAGAGAGCCATAAAAGGTACATATTTTCAACTGCATTATCGTGCGAGCCATGTAGCATTTCTTCATTCAATCAGGCCTGAAATTTTTACTAGAAAGTCAACACATACAATGTCAATATACATTTAATGTGACTTCTGATCCTGCATGTTGTCACTTCGGGTTTGAGCGGCTGCTCACATGCAGCACAAGTTGAAATCTACGATACTCATCACTCTTCTTTCGTTTAGGCATCTCCGTAGGATTTTAAAACCAGCTTTGCTAGTCCGATTTGAATATGAAAAATACTGTAACTAATACGTAAAAACGAAAGAGAAGCTTTATTCTATTGCTCCCCCTCCTTCACTCTATCACTTTGCGATGTCACAAAATATGTTCCAGAATTCCCTAGTTTTGTCACAAATGTCTGTCTGGTAATTAATTCTCTTAGATAGCATAGACTTGCGCTAGGCGCGCAATCTCAAACGTATTGGCAAACTTTCTGCCAAATTTGGCTATAAAATAGTTTGAAATATCCAAACAATAGTAAGCTTAGCCTCTGAATACTAAATTTTTCTGGGAGCCATAATATGCTGTCACCAAATAAGCCATACATGGCTCGCGAGCCATGGGTTCCCGGCCTCCGCCAAGTCTGGAGCTTAAAACTATGACGCTATCTGTTGGCTTCCATGTTTCATTCAATGTTAATGCGTCGAAATTACTGTTGTCTATCCCTAATTCGACTCACCGAGCTATTGCGGTAAGGAGGCAAATAATTTCGACAAATTCAGTATTCAACAACTCTTGACAAAGAACTAGCCTAAAAATTGCTATCAAAATACTTGTGAAAAAAGCCTCGCGGTTATGTTGTTGAGTGATTCAGAGGTGGTGTATTGTGTGCTCTTTGCAATACAAAAGATACGAGTCAACATCAAAGTTAGATGTAAAATGTCGACATTTGTATTGATCTGTTAAAATATTGTTGTTATTCATGTTGATGTGTAAAATAGGATTCCATCAATTCCGTGAATTTGAACAAATAACTGGCTAACTAATCTAATGCACGACATGGACTGATAAGCGGACAAGAGTACGAAGTACATTATAAGATTACGCAGTCTTGTCGGCTTTCCTTTTCGATAAATATAAAAATCCTGTCCTATCCAACAACAAAATTTAAATCAATCTCCTAGGCCTACGGTGAATATACAATCGGTAATATGATACAAAGAAGCAGACGATCCGTTTGTGACGAAAAGAATAAGTTATCTGATAGAATCATCGATAGAATTCGAGAACTTTATTAAATTTCTCTTCTTTGTGTCGTCTTAGACATAATAAATGATACGCACAATATATCGTCTGAAGTTCTGTATTGTTTTCAACAACGAAGAAATGCGTGTGTAATATTTTAACACATAGTCGAGTGACAACATTCGTTTCGGCAAAGGGGTAATTTGATCGATTTCCTCACATTTTCTGCGATGAAGTAAAAATCTCGATGTCTGCAACAAACAAAGATATATATCAAAAACTATTGCTTCTCTAAAATAGTAGTGTTCAGTCATATACAAAAGAAATTTTGGTTGGGCCTGATTTCTAGCAGACATAAACAAAACCGTACCCTGCCATACAATTCTGTTGTGAAACATGGATGATATAGAAATTTGCAGATATCAGCTATTTAAATACGCTTGGCTTTTATTGACCCATACCTTCCGCACCTTGAGTCCATTTTGTATGGTCCATTTACAAATTTATATTTGGCTCCTAAACTTCACTCGTGGCTTTGCAGAAGCGTATGCTTGAGTTCTATCAAATATTATATTACATAGATGAAGATGCTCTTTAGACTTGTCACTATAGAAACCCTATGATTCCAGTTTTTAATTGTCGTCATCAAATTTTGTTGTCTCTTTGGGACACACCCAATGAGTTAACTATCAAAAATGAGTCACCTATTTAACCTAAAACTCAGGGGACTCGAGAGCGTCGGTGAGTCTCTCATAATGAACGCTCAAAGCCCTATCTTTCACTTTTTTTAGACGCAAGACATTACAAATATGTGAATAAAACCATAGCATTTTTGATTCAGAGACAAATCAAATTATAAGCGTTCAAGTCTAAATAAATTCTATTACTGTCAAATTACGTTTAGAATAGTAGTCTTGACTTTTAAACAGACATAAGTGAAATACAGTTATATATGAAGTATTGGAAGTATAAAATGGGTTGATGAGAAACATTCATATTTTGAAGTAGTAGAATCCGCATCAAAAACGTACAGTAAATACGGTACAATATAATGATGAACCGTCTTTTTAAAAAACAAGGTCCAAATTAATCTCCCAGAGAGAATATAAAAATTGGTAATATAATACAAAGAAGCAGTCGATCCATTTGAAATGAAAAGAATAATTTATCACTGATGGAATTCGAGAACTTGATTGAATCGACTTCATTTGTCTACTTTGTGTCGTAAGAGATATAAATAATGAATGATAATCACATCATAATGTCTGGTGTTTTGTATTGTTTTTGACAACGAACAACTGCATTTGAAATATTTTGATACATAGTCGCATGACAACATTTATTTTATTCAACAAGGAAATAGATTTATCGAGGATGAATAAAGCAAAATAAAATGGCCGACGTTTCGTATTTCTATACAGAAAAAACTTCACCAGGGCATGATAAGGAAAGGACACTAGCGTATAGGTAAGCTAAGGAAAAGGGAGAAAATATATCAAGGCGTCAAATTCAATCTGAAAATACGATATAATAATAATAGATCTAAGTAAATTAGCAAAAGTTCAAACAAACATGGGGACTATCTGAACAACGATTTGTACACAGACGGTAACAGGGTCGTTTCTTTGCCATTCATGTGCATGCCACAATCAAGCATACATATCGAATACAATTGCTTCGTTATAGTCAGGGTAGAGAAAAAAGAGTTCAGTCACTTTTAAAATCATTTAAATGTCAGCAAATTTAACGAAACTGTATGCTCCCACGCGATTCTTCCGTGAAACCAAAATAATATCATTTTTATAGGTGGCAACTGTAAATAGTAGTTTTTTTCAAATATCTTCCACATTATATATATTTGGGTTTCAAGTTAAAATACAACTGTGGTAAGGTCAGAATTCTACGTTAAGCCAAAGTTATTGGTAAAACTAAATTCATTTGTGTCGTCGTGTGTAGAAATAAGTTCAATGTAAGGGTAGAGTACTTGTGGAACAAGTAATCGTGCCAATCGTAAATTGCCTTATGTGTAATGACTTATGGAACGTGAGGCGAATATTATGCATGCGACTCGTAAACAATATATCAATACAAGTACGTCGCAGCAGCTGAAGAATATAATTTTTAGTTAGAAAATATTTATCATTTACTCAATTATTTATTACTTCTGGAATTATATCAATCTGTGGGTCTTAAAAGCACACACTGGTATGTCTTGCTCTTTTACCGTGCACCGTTATTTAATTAAGTAGGCAAGGTGCGATTAACTCAGCGACGGCTAGCCGAACAGTGCAATATATATATACCAAAATAATATGTTCTATCGCTGGTAGATATGAGGAATGTGTAACGTGTTGCCACGGAACGTTCAGGGGTATCATTTGTTTGAATTCATGACAACTATATTTTTGAAAAAATTCAGTGATACTAATAAGACTATTTGAATAAATATCTAGAAGTAACGTGAATTGTTTAATTTACTCAATCAATTGGTAACAAACTTGAGCGGGCCACAATTGCAGACACATGTCTTCTTGTTGCTACGGGACGAAAACCAGAGTAATAGCAGTGACAGAACAAAGGCAAGATGAACTATCCTCTGAGAGTGATTGGAATGGAATTAACAAAGAATTCGCTACATCCACGTCATGCCACGGAGTGCAGTATTGGTACACAAGTAAATGGAGATGCTTGAAAGTTTTCTGGATATTTCTGGTTCTTGGTAAGTTCATTGTATAATAAGCTATAAAGTACTGTCCCCAATTTTGGTTCAATTTGCAAGTTGGGTTACGGGGTTCAACGGAAGCTAAAGACATCGCCGAATACTTTTTGATTTAAAATAAGTACCGTAATTATATTGTGCTACACGTTCCGCCAATTTGATGAAATAACTTTGATCTAAATATCCGAGGTAAATAAATAATACAATATTCATTTCGTGTATTAGTGAGAAAAATAAACATTTGAAGGAGATGGTGAAGGTGGGGAAATTGTTTCACAATAGTTCTCTGAAAATGTGATTATTTCTTAACCTAAGGATTGTGATAAAGATGCCAAACAGGGTATCCCGTTCATTTTTACATATGGCAAATAAAATTTAATAGAATGAGTTTAGGTATAATGAATATTAAAATTACCTTGCCGAATCTCATATCTATTTTGGATTTTATCTACCAAAAACGAAATGGTCATACCTTGAAATAGTCTCTTGTATAATTAAATAACTTAATATCATCTAGCAACTACAATGTTAATTTCTAGGTTTTGTTGGCGTTTTATCTTACCAAATCACTCTAAGAATCCAAACGTATTTTTTATATGAAACAAGCACAGATATTTCTGAACAATTCGTTTCGTATTTGGATTTTCCGGCTGTTACAGTATGCAATTTCAACAGGTATGCAAATGTTTATTGGAGTTTTATGCATTTATGGTAATTTTTCGTTGAGAAACAAAATTTTTTGGTTCTGGAATTATTTTTTTGTATATCCGTATAATTGTTGTTCTAAATCCGCATTTGTGAAACAACGCAAATCCTGCAAGTTAATCAATTCGGGCGCTGACTGTTAACAAATATCACATAAATAATGCAACAGTAAGGTTTATAGGCGCTTACTATTGTAAGCATCAGTCTCACTTGCCCTTTGATGTCATCATTTTCGGGTGGCTGTCAAACATTGGAAGTTGTATTTTTGCAGGGGTTTTAATTTACATCGAAATCGGTAAATTTTACTGCGCTTTTTTTTAAATATATATATTCACACATCTTAATATGTTAAAATTACCTAAGCAAAATATTCGTCACTAATAAGGCCAAATGCAAAATACGGACAGTGTTATCATAGGAAAGAGGGGTTGGCAAGCTATCCAATAATAACGCCTGCTATACGTCGTGACATTACGTTAATTTGTTTCGTTTTAAAACCCTTTGATGAAGTTTAGTATTCGATTTACCATTTTGGTCATTACATGTATAAAAAAAATAAGACACGATTCCGGAAGTTTGAAGTATCTATCTATCAATGGATGTATAGAAAACGAGGTATCTCTATTCCTGTTTGATTTCACCTGATTTCAGTGTTAAATTGTGTTTTTGATAGAATCGGAAGTGTTAGGATTATATAGCAAATTTATTCATCAATATCTCTCAGTTGGTGTCGATTCAAAATCTCACTTATAGCTCGTCGGAAAGGGCTAGTGAAGCGAAAAAAACTTGTATACGACAGAACACCGAAGCTTTAATGTTTCACTTAGCATAACATTTTTTTGCATTTTCGTTGACCGACCGACCCCCCTGCAATGTAAAAAACCCAGCTATCAACCTACAATGAAGCCCAACACATAGACACTAAAAATCCTCCGAAATGACACCTAAATTGATCACCATTTGTTTGATTCGTCGCATAGGAAACTTCGTTGATGAAATTGACAAATTTAATTCCTCACCTATAACGCGGTTTAAGAACATAAATTTATCTACATATTATGATTGCGTTAAGGAGCAACGTTCATGTCTTTTTTCGAAATTTAAATCGGTGGTACTTGTGAATTTTAGCCTGGTAGAAAGTTTTATCTGGCGAAGTAACTGCTATTGAAAAATGTATTGCATACTTCGAATAACCTCTATGGTATATATATATATATATTTCAAATTCTTCAATGCTTCAATTCTGCAATTTTAAACTTGCACGAACTCCATAAAATCAGATGCTATGGCAGAGGCAAAGTCACACCTATCCGCTTTGTGAACATAATTTTTATAACAGTCTATCATTGTGGTCAGTGCTTCATTCAATAGAGAACGCAATTACGTTTTATCCCTTCACAAAACAACTTAGTAGAAAATCGTAATATTCTATTTTTGTCTCTGATGAAAAATTTAAATATTTGTTTACGAATATCAATCAGATCGCACAAAAATGAAACAAGTAGAACTTCAGAAAATCTTAAATAATTCATACAAAATGAAAACTTAATGATAGGTCATTATCTTTAAATTGCAGAGATAATTAGTATCAGTCTGTATGTGATCGAAAAATATGATAACAAAAAACACGTAAATTTGTTTGGCGTTTACAAGGTCATCAAAGAAATTTGTTTAGGGAGTTTAAGTATAGTATTCAGGTATAGTCAATTCATTGCAATACCATTACAAAATGTTTAATTACATTAGGGGCTTTTCAGAAAGATCCCTGTCCGGTTTTAATGAGGTATCTATTAACAGCTGTTCAATAAGCCGGTGAGACACCAACCAACCAAGGTCAAAATCGAAATTTGACGAACAAGCCGCAATTTTTGAGCTCATACATCATACATCTTGAGAGAATTATCTGATGAACTTGCCTGGGCGTACAGAAAGCAATCAATATTTCTATCCGAAACGTTTCAGATAAATTGTTTCTCAATAGTTTCGCGAATGAATATGTATTTTCAATGATTTATTTTGATTCATAAACTTAAAAATAGTCATGTATTTACGTATACCACGACAAACATTGAGGCTGGACAAATTCCAAAAAAAATGAATATTATTCATTTGTTGTTATAGATATTTTCTCAACGCAACAACAAGTGAGCTGACAGGTATCTATGCCATAAATCAGTTGTCAACATCATCAGCTTTAGCATTTGCATCCGAAAATAATGACAAAAGAACGCATGACGCACTCTCTAATCTGGGACCTGATTTTAATGTTACAGAATATAGTTATCGGTATGGATTTTCGTTGAATTCGACGGTCATGCCACGTTGCACGTAAGACGAATTTTTTATTTTTTTCATTGTCTTCATGTTGCAACCTAAAATTTGAAATCTCCTTTTGTCAACAAACATAATAATGGGGGTAATCACTTTACCCAGTAGCTTGATGCTTCACAGAGTTGTCTTCGATTTGTCATTTTGTATATAATTTTTACTGCCCTAATGCTTGTATTCTGATTGACGAAATAAATATCTCTCTTTCTCACTCATCCTATACGAGTGAGACCACAATTTAACGTATTTTCGTAATGTTTTTCGCTGGATCCCAAAATGAACATTGGGTTGGGAAATGGGAAGCACTGAAATAATTAATTAAACGTTTCAATGACAGGGTGGTGCCAGGGAACCAAGAAAATGTAAACCAATGCTTGCCCGGCATACGCAAATATCCATCATTATATGATCCACAAAATGTTGGAATATCATATATACAATCCATAACACTAAATTTTTTAATTTCGAAATAGGTTCAAAACTGAACATTGCTCTGAGAGTGACTTCACTCCAATCATTACGTCTTTGGGGAGATGCCACACGTTTAATGAAGGAAATATAAGTCGCACCCAAAATATACCTGGATCAGGACATGGACTAAGTATGATCATCGACGTGCAACAATACCTTTATACAGAGGAGCCTTTAGCTGGAATCGACGAAGCGGGAATTAAAGTTCAGGTCATAATAGTAAATTGGTTTTAAGTCCGTACTGTGTGACTAAGTTTTCAAAACGTGAACGATGACACTGCAGAGCATATTCACCGTAGTGGGTGATCATATATTTTATGTTCTCGATAAAATCTCAAATTTCTATCGTTAAAATACCTTCACAAAAATAATTTCATACTGTTGTCTCTCTTTTTCCTATTTTCCACATGTCTCAAATTTATTTCTAATATATATATTCACTTTTCGTCTTTTTTTTTCTTTGCTTCAGGTTCATCCTCCATATGAAGAACCTGACGTCGAAACGTACGGTGTTGCTGTGCCTGTCGGGCAAAAAGCATTCATAGAGATTACGCGTGTGGACAACGGGCTGATGTACGAACCATGGGGAAGGTGCGACCCTTCAAAGGAGTCTTTAAACTACTTCTCGACGTACACTTTGAACAATTGCCTAAATGGTATGATTTTTCTATTTTGCGTAATTTGAGCGGAATCATATAATAGATACTGAACAAACCAAAATATCGCAAAAAGCGAATTCGTAAGTCGGTTCACTTTTCGAGCAAATGACAGATCCAAAATAAAACTCAAACCAAAAAACAGAAACTTTTTATTGATGTCCTGCACAGGAGAAAAAGACAAATAGACAACCTATTGTTCAATATATGAATAGATATCACGAACGACGCCGATTTTGTCACCAACGGATGTTTCTCAGGTGGTGAAACTTTGGTGAGACTTGATCATAAAATTTTGATCAGTTAGACATGTTAAACATCAACAAATTACTACAAATTTAAAACTGTACAAGTAATACTATAGGGAGACAAGATGCGGCCTTAGGGATAAAGACTGTTCACCCTAATATTCAAAGTTCGATTCCCACGTTATTAATTTAACGTGTTATGGAATGTGACTCCAATCTGGATTCCCTCAGACGATAATAAGCACACGATGATGATTGTCGAATTGTTGTAAATTATTGAAAAGATGCACGATCCAAATTCCAAATACAGATAAAATTGTACACACTTAATTCTTAATGCAGTAATATTACGGTCAGATCACAAGTCATATCACGAGTGAAACAAAAAACACAATATTATAGAGCAGGGATGGCGAACCACTGACCCGCGGGTCACAAAGTGACCCACCGCGTTTTATTCGTGACCCACTAAGGCACGAATAAAATAAAATACTAACATATCTGCGATTATAATTGATAAAACCGGCCTTAAATTAATCTAACAATAAGTAATCTATTATAATGTACCGTCAGTTGGGCAGTCAGGGCTGCGATTGCTCATATTTAAATTGTTAATTCCTGGCCGGTATGGTAATTTTCAAAACCCCTAATCTTTGACGCATGTCTGCACCGCTGTGTACCAAGCTGACGCATAACCTGAAACCTAACCTGGTACACATACCATGTTCAGGTTGTGCGTCATCTTGGTACACATACTTTGGGAGCAACCTTTATTCAGCTATTGGCTCAGACATCGTTTATGACATGACAATGCAATTGATATTCATATCTCGCAACGTCTTGTCTCTTCAGGAAGTGCATTTGCAGACTGTTTTAGGGGTTATGCGAGAACAATGACGTTAAACAATGTCATTTGCGAGAAGTAGAAGCTACTTTGCATTTTATTAGTTTCTCGCCTACAATGCCGTTTAGGAAACAAAATTTTTCAGACTTGAAATAAAAACCTAGAAATAACAATGGGGCAGTGTAAAAGTGCCTTGATGTGGTATAAAGCTGATCGAAAAGTATAACACTATCAGAGTGGAATTCCCTCCAAACTCTTTGGAATTCACCGTAAGTAATTTGCGCATCATCCTAAACGTATTTGGTAATTCATATGCGTGTTTTCGTACTCTAATTTCATAAAATCGAGTGCCATAAAAGTCTATGTTTCAGAAGTTTCTTATTGATACAAACATTGATCAAATATCTGTGACCCACTATCTACTGTTCCGCGATGAAAATATAATTTTTTGACCCATTCTCTGAAAAAGGTTCGCCATCCCTGTTATAGAGCATTCTCGGCAAACCGGAAACGATACGTGGTCGAAACGAGAAAGGCAATACATGGAGCGAATGCACTATCGCTGTTGCGAAACATAATGCGGCCTATTTTGTGAAATATTACATGCTATTAATATGAAAGGGTTAAATACATTATAATCCATAGTTACACAAGGCACATTCGCTACAATACCATGCGATTCAAGTCCTGCTGCACACTAACACGAATGTATTTCTGTAACGTTTGGTCTGACCAAAATCAGACATCGCCAGACAAGCATACGATTGCGCTCTTGCCGACTAGTGTGATTAGCGCAAAGGTATTGAAGAAGGATTGGGAGTTAGTCTCGCGTAACTTCTACTGATAGTAATATCATCTTTTTCAGAGTGTTACACAAATGCAGTTGTTGATCAGTGTGGATGTAGACTGCATACACAGTATTGGGATACAGAACATGACGAATGTACGACATTGCAATTATTTGAATGTGCTGCGGAACATCTTGTCGCAGTAAAACAAAACGTGAGATTTGTGATATATATATAAAAAATTTATATGTAATTATATATCAGTTATATATACATCTGGTTCGGTGCGTTTATATTAATCCAGGAATTTTATGGTTTCTTCACTGAAAAACATATTGATTAGAAGTTACTGAAACATGAGCAGTGAATATAATCAATAAATAGACGTTCCCAACTTATATTTTATAAACGAAAGGATCCAGAATAATAAAATATTTTAGCAAAGCATGAACACATTTGTCCAATGAAGTAGAATATCTTGTAATAGAGTGACGGAAGCATTAGTCAAGCACACTCATTACTAAAATTTAACTGGTGTAGCCTACGACCTACGTAAATAGCGGCTATGTCAGTTTGCGGTGTAGGCTACTGTAGAGTGTAGGCTATCAGTACGCTTGGAGCCAATTACATGCATTTTGACTGAGGAAGTTTTATCGTGAGCAATGCAAAGTTGCAATATATGCAAAAAATGTCAGTCAGTTTATATCTAATTACATTGAACGTCAGAATTTTTTCAACGTAAATCATTATAAAAAACTGTTTTTAGTATTCTGCAAGCGACTGTAACTGTACTATTCCATGCACATTCACTGACTATGAGTTGACTGTCGCGTATGCTACATTTCCAGGATACACAACAAGAAATTACCTTGTGGTATGTTGCTTTATCCCACACAATTCCATTACTATTGATTGATGTTTGTTCATTTCTGTTGAATTATCCATACTGGTGGCGCATCTGTACCAGCACTATAATATTGTTAGATAACAAAATAGTGCAAAGTCTGGTATAAAAACACTGAAATGAAGATTTTGAAGATGATTTTTTATGACCAACATCTTTTCTTGCAAAATTTGGAAATAAACTATTTAATATTATATTTATTTCCCGCGTTTGGTGCACCTGAATAACCAGGAAACGATAAGGGATGTTGACGAAGAATATATAAAAGAGAACATGGTGAAACTTGAAGTATATTTCAGTCGTATGAGTTATCGTACTTTCAAACAGTCAAAGAAAGTTGATGAATCTGGACTGCTTAGTGATGTCGGTAGGTATATATCCAAGATCAACCTGACAAACATATCATTAGACAGAACCGGTGGTGTGTTCTATTTTGTATAGATAGAACTCTCCAACGACAGGTAGCTTATTTCAGAAAATGTATGTATATATGTCACTGGGCAAACTGCATTAGCACGACATGCCTTACATTAATGTATTGCATACCTTTTGCCAAAAATAATTCTGATCATAAGGTGCTTTGCACGTTACGCATTTGCTGCATTGTCGAACAACAAAAACAGAACGGGTTCGATAATTACCACGACACTCCAGTGGGAACCCGCAGAACACTGCTCCTGGACAGAACTAAGTCAATATGGCTGTTAATGATAGAATATTTTGAAGCTATGCTCATGCACCGAATTCTGCCGCCCATTCAAAATAGGATTATTGAACTTGGTTATGAGATGCTGCTTCACAGAAACCTATCATTGCGCGCGTATCATCATAATATGTATATATATATATATTTAACGTTTTCAAGTCTGCAAAGGATTCCATGAATAAAGCAGTGGTATCGTACGTATTATTCCGTGCATAAAGTTGTGTGGTACGAAATATTCCATATACCCTTTAACAAAAAGACTGGTTATTAGTAAAATTTGTCCTGTATTATATATCATGATATTTATATAATAGCTGCAATTTGTTATAACTTGATATTTTTCAGGTGGACAGCTTGGATTGTGGTCTGGAATGAGTTTTGTTACTTTAGCGGAATTTGTTCAGTTCTTCTTTCTCAAAGGATACTTTGCGAAATCACGAATACAGAACAGAAAACGAAAGAGGAGAAAAAGGACCCAAAACACCAATGGAGCCACTATACACGCTTGATAGTTATCGACGGTGTTGTAATAATTACTCGCCTAGTCCTGTCTAGTTTGTTAAAATAAAAACTCCTGAAAACGGCCTATGGGTCTCATAAATGAACTTGAATCAATCCATTGTTTTTATATCAATAAATATTATCTTTTTTGTTTTAAAATTAAACTTGCAAGCATAGTGTATGATGTTATAAGAAAGATGTAGACACGACCGTACACCGTGCGAACCTCTTACACAAGCGAGAACCACATCGAACATACCCAATGAAGAGCGACAAAATCAATTACATATTATATAGCCTATATATAATATGGCGAATGTCACAAATTTATTTAAAATCTTATGTACCAGAGATGCCGCATCACTGACTTCTGTCTCAATAATGACCGGCATGATGCCCAGTAAAGTACAAAAAATTGTGAAAAGGCCGGTCTTAACTCAATCTAAGAATATGTGAATTACTTTAATCATTTGATATTTCAAATTCATTTACCAAATTTATTTCTTGCCATTGTTGTAAACTGCTTGTCTGAGGAAGTCTGACTCCGGTCGGACGAAACTTTACAGAAATACATTTGTGTTAGTGTGCAGCTGGACTCTTTAATTGGATAGAATAGTCATGTTTATTCCAGCTACAGTATCCTTGCAGTATACGCATACGGATCCACTAGCATAAAGGCATGGAGAAAAGATAGGAAGTTAGTCTCGCGCAACCCAACTCAAATTTATATATTTTCTATTATCAAAAAATAGGGGTTTGTTTTATTTTATATCTGAATTAATTGAATTCTTCATGTCTCATTCATAATTTTTCAGGAACCCATATTTGAATTTACACTTGTTTACTGTAATAATTTGAGTAGTTGCCTATACTGATGATAATTATCAAGAAAACATTGTTTTTTGACTACGTTGGTTGTAGTCGAATGCAACAACGTAGACTGAAAAAAATAATCAAGGGTGCATATCCAGGTTAATACGATTGTAAATAGTAAAACGTGCTCTACAGCAGATAGAGACCTTCAAAAACACCTCTGATTAACCCACGCGGGGAAGCAGGTTTCAATACCTCGGAAGATAATTATGTGCCTGAAGTATGCACGTGCCAAAGGGTATTTGTTCCAGTATCTAACTATGTGCATATGAAGTAATTAACTCGTGAACTATTTGCAGACCCAACTTTATCCTGGGTAGCTGAAGGACCATGGCAAACGATGAGTATCAATGGACGCTAACTCAGAAGCAGTTTTTACGAAATAGGATTGGATTCTCATTATGGTTTGGTTTCAAAAAATGTGTTGCCAAAATTTACTCGTGAAAGTAACCAAAAGCTTGTTAACGACGTAGAATACTTTGCTTTTAACCCCGACTATGTTCTGGCCAGTAAATTTAATGTTACTGTCCATTACCATCCGGGTTTGTATTGAAACAAGAGCAGTATAAGCAGTTTGAGCCTAAATTATGGACGTGTGCGTACGGAGTTATTGAGTTATAAGAATCCTTTCTAAGTTCCTCTTTATGCTACCAGCGAAGGCTTGTCCCATCATACCAGAGCAGATGGTTTTATCCTGAGGAGCTCCAAGAAGCAGTCATTAAGTTTGCCGTACATCGTACCGAACAGCTTGTCCCGGTATTCTTTGTCTCAATCCACTCTGTGCGTGCGCTTAACTTAATCTTCCGGTACTCTATTATAAGAGATTCTAATTTAATTCATGAAATAAATTTGAACAATTTGGTCAAATGTTTTTATCATTTGCTAAAATATTTTATTATTATGAGTGAAAGCATGTCATATACCCAGTTGTACGCCTTTGTTCAGATACAGACATATTTGACATCCCTCTACGGTTAGCATAGGTACCCGATACCGGTATTTATGGGGTTACGAGTTGTAGTTTTAATAATAGTAATGAAAACATAGTCTAGAAATAGCTGTGATAAAATAGGTTAAATCAATGGAAACACTGGCTGTCTGGTTTGATTCTGTAAATTCTTGCTACGCGAAACTCGGAATCTTTTTGAGGGTAGCGGTAGCGTCAAGGGTAAGGACTGCTTCGCTCTTTGTAACGTGTCCGTATATTTGAGCATTACTCTGTTTTAATTTGATATTTTTGCACGGAGTGATTGATCCAACTATGATATCCACACAATATTTACGGGTTCATTTTAGTCCGTCACTTTTTCGCATCTTGCTGATTGGCTATGTTCAAATCCAGGGGTGGACCCGCTCTTGGAATGTTATGAAAACCAGTTACGTCCGCAAAGGTGCACCATAGCTGACAACTATCGTTACCGGTTTATTTGGTGTTTCGAAAGTTATGTATTAAATTTGTGTGAAGCAAGCATGTGATGGAGCCTGATAGAATTACAAACATTTTCTGGAAACCTACTGTTTGCGAGTTCAACACGAAGAGAACCTTTCGAATCCCACCACTTGTGTTCCAACAGGATTCCATCGCCGCGATTACAACTGCATACTGGCCCACCATGAGTCAAACACTAATAAATTGAAATGCTCCGCTGTTCGCACACATAGTACCTGACATTCATTATGGACATTTATATTAAAGACTGACAAATCTGAAAATTAATAAAAGATCTTTCATAATCCAAAAAGGTTAAGGGAACACCAAGTTAAAACCCTATGTTATAATCTTGTCGCTACCTGCTCACAATGACAAAAAACAACTCAACACATGCATTTGAGCTAGTTTATTAAAATGCAAGTCATCCTTTGATGTCTTTGACACTCAAGCTTGGTGGAAGCGATTGTCGGAGTTTTTCAGCCTTGTCATTGTCTTGAATAACCAGGGTATACAGGTATCGGCTACAGCGGACCTGAAACAAGTAAATGAAAAAAATTATATTTAATTATTGATTCACTTTTTGACTACCACATGTTGAATAAGAGCTACAGAGTATACTATACATACAGTTTTATTAAAGTGTAGTTTGCTAGATGGAAAACCAACACCTAAATCTCCCGCAAAAAATATTGTAAGTACATTGGTTAGAAATGTCATTGAGTTCAAGAAATGACTAATTGCCATAGTTAAATGGATATGAAAATCACCTAATAAATGATTTGATATAAGTGACCTAATATAAATTAAATCAATAGATTTCTTTTATCAAATCATAACCGAGGTTAACCAGCACAACTGCAATATGACAGAAAAAAGCATATGCATAGGTTTGCACTAGTTACAAAAATGTAAATCTATAAATTTAACATGAAAAAAATCGAATTAGGTATATGAGACAAAAGATAAAATTTAAATATCCATAGTTTCAAAAGCATACGGACCAAATTGAATACCAAACAACTACAAAACATGAAAACACTGTAGCTGTCAGAAGATCCATTAAACATACTACAGAAATTGGCGTACAATGAAAAAATACAATATATGTAGACATTATCAGAATAAGCTCAGCAATCGATATGACAAATTTAAAGATCGACTTCGAACAAACCTTTTTTGTGTTTGTATATTAATATTATTATACAACTACCTAATTACTAAAAATCAATATCAATAATAACTCAAAGCGGTCATATGCCACGTAATGGTAGGAAATGTCTAGTCCGAAAAGTCTGTCATTTATTTGTTTACCGATCCATACATGAAATGATAAACGTACCGGTAATATTTTTGATTTTTTGTGTTACTGAAATTAATCAAACGTTCTCAACAATCCAGATTAAATGATGATCATATGACCTTGTTAATTAGAGTTGGTAGGCTACTGTAAAATCATTTCAGCCTGATATTAGTAAGCTGTTGAGTGGTGGCACAAAAAAGATGCCAAATGCCAGGACATATGTAATAAAAAAAAAGTTTATTCTGTAGTATTTTTGTCAACTTTAGGTCTTTATATTTAGATTGACTCATTCTTTGCGTATGTATTATTCTTTCCACATCAAAATTTATGATTTTTTGTAATAAATACAGCCATTGCAATAATAGTGAAATGCAAAAATTAATATGAAAATTAAGAAAATAACAAAACTTCTTCAATTGCATCACAATATATGTCACAAACTACACCTATCTAAAAATATGCTTTAAGTATATATCATCAAAATCTGTTTGCGGCCCTTTACACAATTCCCAAATTGCAATGCGGCCCTCGAAAACCCACAAGTTTGACACCCCTGAACTAAACTGTCTCAAACCTCGTAACTAACCACTTTTTGTTATTCTATAGAGTCAAACGCGTAAAGATGATGCCTATATTCTGAGTGAATGCCTACATCTAAAGCTAGATTAATCTATTATTCTATGCAGTTTGTAAAAAGTCGACAAAGTATTGATCAATATCATTCAATCTCATGCCAGTTTCTATCACGCCATATTCAGTTAGGGCAACACAACTTTGAACTAGATATGAATGTAATCTGTTGTTTCATAGCTGACTCATATTTTAGTATTCACATATAATCAAGTGTTAAGGTATTACGTAACTTAGTTTTGTTTAATTCCTAAATGCCAAATAAATAGTTTATTTTGAAAACTCCACAATAGACACTAATTAAAAAAGGAGAATTCTGGAGAGCAAGCAAAACCTTTAAAAAAGTTTGAAACACAAGAAATATCATGTGTCCGCTCACCAGCACAAACAAAAAAAAGAAAAAAACTTGGCCAGAGGCCAGAATGTATTGAACGTTTGGCTGTTTACTTTTTAATATTAATGCAGTAAAATGATCAATTCAAACTGATACAAGATGAGGTGTAGAATGCAATGCAATAAAGTGATGAGAATGATCAAAAGCCATGAAAAACTAAACCGATTGCGCACTACTGCTGAAAAGGTGATAAAGTGGTTCGAAGTGTTCATTTGAGTGAGCATTGGAAACACTGATTTATTGAACAAATTAAACTTTCGGCTGTTCAATCATAGTTTTACTAATAGATTAGTAGTTTTGAAAATGTTTTATTAATTCCGTTCAGTTTCTAATTTGCAATTTGAGAACATGCAAACAATTCATTTTAAAACTTATGACACAAGATTTATAAAATATATGAATGTGCGCAACAATGAAAAAATCATAGCAGATGAACCACAAACATACCGGTACTAGCCTAGTATGCATACAAATCGACGATACTGAACGAACGAAACTGTTTTTAGATTCTGGTATTGATGTAGGTTATAACGAATTCAGGGATTATGAAAACTAACCTTAAATTTAGTATTCTCCTTGTTCTTTTTTATTTTTACAGACTTTGCATCTTTACGCCTTGCTGTAAGAAGGAAGTCTTTTATTTCTTTGATCTCTTTAGGCATCTTGATGATTCTAAACAAAGAGCAATAGACTGATAGAGCAGTTGAATAAACTGATGGAAGGCACCAGGGTAATAAGTCCTGGTTTCAGGCTCATGTTTGGAAATTTTAAAACTAACTTTTTTTTATCAAAAACTAACAAAAAAAAAACGAGTAAACAAACTTAAACTGATATGGAAAAATGATACTAAAATCCATACCGAATGACAAACAGCCAGCGAGATCGATCCACGAGAAAGGACCGATCATGAGGTGAAAGTTCAAAAGGCAGAAAATATGTTACAGTTGAACGGAGTTCCTATTCTTCGTACCGGTATGTTTTTTAGTTCAAATTTTTCATTTTTGTTCAAACAAATATTAATTCAAAAATATTTCAGTTCACACTGATTATAAATACGCCTTCCGGTGCTTTTAATTTATATCCCAAACTTATATGGACTTCGGTGTACCGGATACATGTAAAATCACAATGACCTTATTCATAACTTAGAATTTTATCAATATCTGTTCATTATTGTTTATTACTATTTTGCGCTAATTGTATACAATATTTCATTTATATTATTGTTATTGCTGCATTTGTAGTTATTGCCTTCAAATACGCGAAAATAGGCTATATAACGATATGCGTTGAGGTCTGAGTCTTCCGGATTTGCGTGTGATCGATTATCCCTATTCTCATAAGCTCAGTCACGGGATTTGACTTGCCAGAGTTTCAACGATATTTAGATTACTAAAGTTTTGTCAGACGGAGTTCCAATTTGTTACCGTAAAAGCGCCTAACTTCGGACAGTCCCTAACTTCGGACAAAATTTTTGAACGGCCATATCTTAGCTAAAACGCGCCGTATATTGCTAATTTTAATTATTATAGGTTGTGCTGTTATATCTACATCTATTCTCATCTTTTTTAATGTTGCATAATTCTTTTTTTGGTAAAAAAACGGAAATTTTGCCGAAAATTGACTGCCCGGCATTCAACGGCGCAGAGCGTCGCTCCTACTGAAGCTATCGTCGTCAAAATACCATCATTCGGTAGAGGGCGACAACAATGTATATAATTTATTTGAGTGATCGCAAGATGTCGTACGAGATTTAAATAAAATCTAAAATTCTGAATTATAAATTCCGTAAGAATATTAAGATTTCACGCAGCGTCAAAAATTACGTCAACCTCACGTAGATTATTTTTCGCTCACTTCCGAAACGACGTCACACTACGTCGCGGAAATGAATTTTGACGCCAGACACAACGGAGCCAATATGACAATTTCCGTTAAGATAAAGACGGCGTTCCAACGTAATATTTTTGTATTTTGTTCGGTCATGTATGAATATATGCCAAAATTACATTAATGAAAATACATGTCACACTTAATCGATGACGTTAAAAATCGAATATATAAAACTATGATAATTCCAACGTCCATATGGCACAGTGCACTGCACTTAACCATTATTTTATGATTAGTAGTCGAAATGACAGTTATTGAATACGGCCTGGGTGAATTTTATTCACTCGAAATTAAAAATAAATTTAATCTCCAACAAATAAACGGGACCTACATGTTTACAAGATTAAGTTGAATTTTAAATTAAACTTCACAATCGGATTTACCGTGTGTTTGATATAAATTATCATTTATAAAGATAACCGCGCAGAATAAAAAAAAGCTATCTGTCGAGAATATTAATACTTCAAAGACTTCGATAGAAGCCCGTTAAAATACTTCATTGTGGATTGAAACGGTTTGCATCAGATATATTTACGTATGCATTTCCTGATTAAAATGACTAACGTGTTATTATACTCGTCTGAAGTATCGAAAATAACGAACGAAAGATGTAAACATAGGACGACGGAAGTTTCAAATAATGCATTTTCGTCGTGACGTCAATGTTACGTTACGACGACGATCGAGCGTCTTATCCTCACGCAACGACGTGATTACCTCATCCGCATCGGAAGCCTCTTTCTCTCTGTGCGTCGCGGTTACGCAGTGAAGAAAATGACTGTCCGAAGTTAGGGCAGTGAAGGATAACGGTCAAATGGCAAGAAATATCGATTATTTCAATAGTAAAAATAGTCCAATTGAACCGAAATTTGCAGGGAATGTAAATTACCGCACGAATGTTTTACCGAGCAATTTTGGCGCCGTTTGGACAATAAATGGCCGAGTTATTGACGAAAATATAGTAATTTTGTCCGAAGTTAGGCGCTTTTACGGTATATTAAGATATTTGCATCGTTTAGTAAATATTATTTACATTTTGCTGGTTGACTATCAGTTTTTATGGATGTCAAAGTTTCCTGGAAATGAAGAGGACTGTAAATTTGCGTGATATGTCAGCAGCAAATAACGGACAGATGCCAATCGGCGGTCAAGATCAAACAAGAAAAATATTGTCAGACTTGCAGAAGGAAAAAGCTAGACTTCGAATGTTACAACAAGGGGGTGGTGCTGTTGCACCCGGATCGTCAAGGATTCCCATTAATCCATCTCTTGCCTCAGCTGAAAATTCCCAGCATATTGGAGCGAACCAAAGAAATGCCATGCAAGTTGCTCAGAATTCATCATTTGGATATTTTATTCCACAAGACTCTGCATTTGGAAATGTAATTTTGCCAGTTGTGCCTCGTATAGGCCCTAATTAATTTTGAAAAAATGGCAGTGCCACATGATAATTTGGTAGACTTACTGCCTGACTGCTGTACTCTATTCTTATTTAACAGAGTATCGTAGGCTGACAGGCCTAACGCATCAGGTGTTTTTCTTTGCTAGTTCGCAAGAAAAAATTGACCAATATCGGAATATGCAGATATGTAAAAGCTGCCATAATACAGTAATAGGCCTTTGTTGTCAGTTACAGGGTTACCGGTATACAGTTGTAGACTAGTTAAGCTAAATATCGCTATAATCTTCAGAGTTTCAAACTAAATTCTAAAATTGGATTCCACAATCTAATTTAGCTCTTTTTTCATCAATATTGTACTATGTTAAACATAACTTGAAATTAAACTTTTCCTAGTTGTAGTTTTGTCTCTATTACTGTTCTAACACTTCAGCGATATTGATAATCTGTTCCAGTGAGTTCGAAAAAGTCATGTAAGCATGAAAAGCACGAAGGGAAATTAAGAAGAAAGCAAGCCAAGCTACCAAACTTCCAAAATGCTTCGCAACTTCAGCTCATACTTTGTCAACAAATTTCAGCCAGCTACAATCTTGTACAAGCAACAATTAAAAAAAGTGTCATCATCCTCTCCGCCTGTACTGAAACCGGTTCTTGGTGAACGAGCTTCCACAATTAAAACATTCAGCAATCAAGATGTTCAAACTTTTGCCGAATTGACAGGAGATGATAATCCGCTTCATTTTGATCACAAGTTTGTTAACCAATCAGGGGTATTTCAAAAACCCATTGTTCATGGTGCATTAGTTAACGGCCTTGTTTCAGGCGTAATTGGTACGCAGTTACCTGGTCCAGGAAGTGTTGTAGTTGAACAATCGTCACGATTTTTGGCGCCTTTATATGTTGGAGACACTGTCAGAGTAGAAGTTATCATAACTTCTATCAAAAAACGATTTCTGGATTTGGCAATTGAATGTATCAATATGGATGCTGAAGAAGAGAAAAAGGTTATGCTCGGGAAAGTGACTGTTATGATGACAAAAAAGAATTGACTTGTTTTTTTCCTCTTTATTGATAAAAATTATGCCACAATGTGACCTTTTTTGACTATTAAGTCAAATATATATGTTGTGATGCATACACTGTTCATTGATTGTTTTGTAAAAATTTGTTCTGTGTGTTTGTTAATAGACATATATTTAGTGCTGCTGTATTATGCTGAGATATTTCGTGTTATCAAAGATTTTCAAATTTGATGAGCTAGTTTTGAATTGATTGAATATTTAACTTTATTGTAGTAACAAACTCATTCATTTTGCTGCAATTTAGGGTAATTTGACAAAAAGTACCTTCGTTTCACTTAGATTTTTGTAATTGTTAATAAATTTCCTTCTCATTCATTTCACATTACAAGCATTCAAAATTGTTATACCACGATTTGAATTTTACTTGAACGCATTTGTTCATGTAATGTTGCAGTATGTCATGGATATAAACTAGAAATAAATTGTTTTTCGTTGAATATACTCAATGCCTTTGAAGTAATTTTTTGGAGCGTTTTTTGATGTTGTAAGCAAAGCTTAAAAAACTAATTTTATTTTTGCTAGGAAGCAGTGCATTATTATCAACATATTTTTCATAGTGTTGTTAATAACATGAAATCTTTTTAGACGTTGCAGATTTTGGGTGCTCATTAAATATATATATTAGGATTGAACATGTCTAAAGTTGCGATTTACTCATTCATTTTTGGATCGGCTCTTCTTGCTATCACATCTTTCGGTAATCCATTTTTTTATTCGTTGTACATTGATATCTATATAATTGCTGGTAAAAAATTTAAAAATATAATTGTATTTTTCAATGAATCCATTGTGGCTGCTGAAGAAATATCAAAAATGAGAGTTTGAAATGATCTGCCATGTACCGAAATTGCAGAGATGACTACTAGAAGTGACTGCAATGACAGTCAGACAATACTATTAAATCTCACTGGTTGAATTAGATTAGATAAACCCAACAGAACCTGATCTCTTTGATGATTTTGAAATATTCATTTCGCCAACTTTCTTTTCAGTTTTATATTTCCTATTCACGGAGCAGCAGTTTCGGATTGACATAGGATGGTTAATTTCATCAATTACACCTCATGCATATGCTTCCGTCGGTGTCGGTTTGGCGGTGTCTCTCTCAGTTGTTGGGGCAGCTTGGTAAGTTCATTCAGCATAACCATAACAACATGAGATATATATGAATGTTTGAAATATTTTTTACATGTTTAGTTATATGTTGGTTGGACTGATTATATGTACTTCGTTCAATCTTTCCATCACGAATGATTGATTAGGTTGGCCTACTAGTTTTTTATTGCTACTTGTATGATATGGAACACTTTTTATTATTTCTTTCAATTCTTGTTACAGGGGAATATTCACAACAGGATCCACAATTATGGGAGCAGGAATAGTGACTCCAAGAATATATTCTAAAAATTTGGTACTGACATATTTGTTTCAGAATTATATTAGAATGTTGGTATTTACTATTTACGGAGCTAGACAACATATTAATAAGAAATGGAGAAACAATGAAATCATTGTTTATTTCAACTTTACTGTGTTTTAAAATCCGTGGGATATACATCGAGTTCTACATGTTCTCTTTTGAGCATGATGTTGTTTAGAACAGTGGTTCTTAACCTTTTTTAGTTTGCGGACCGGTAAAATTTAAAAATTATTTTGTGGACCAGTGAACGTTCAAAATCAACTAAAGATGGCAAAAACACAAAACATGATTATTAAACGAATGTAATTACGACAAAAAATTTGCAATTACGAAGCAGAAAATTCAATTTAATGAGAAATTTGCTGCTGTGTTTTCGATATCATATATGTTAAATGCAGTTTTAATCCAATTTCTGGAAGGAGAAATAGAGCGTTGACCTCTCCGTTTGTTCATGATGAGAGATTTTGCAATTGAGATAAAATATTGGAATATATTTGGCAGACCGGCAGAAAGGTTGCCACAGACCGGCGGTTGAGAACCACTGGTTTAGAATATATTCCATATTCGAAAATATTAATTATACTTTAGAATGTATTCGAAATAATAGGATTTTCGGTATTAGCCACTCGTGTTATTCAACTACATAAATGGGAAATAGTTCAACGCTTTTTATATCTTTGTGTTATATTATTTGAAATCTTTAGGTTAGCATCATATTTTGTGAGGCTGTTGCAATCTATGGAATTATTGTTGCTATTGTTATGTCAAACTTACTGGAGAATTATGACTGGGAAAATCTCAATGAAAATCAAAGGGCTATGAATTACTATGCTGGTATGTATTGACCATAATCATAAAACATACCGTACTGACGGTTTATGCCTAAAAATCAATATGTTATAAACCAGTCAAAGTGCAAACTATTGATTGTTATTAAATTGAATGGGTTGTGGAGTATTTCAGACCATTCACAGCAATTCTACTTCCACCATAGTAGGTCCTAAAATTCTAAATGAAGTACTGTGAATAGAAATGACTAGATTTTGCACAATTTACTTATTGTATGCAGTTCAATAGCAATAATACTAAATTGATTTTTTGGTTTACCCGTAGTGTGTGTACCAGGTTAGGGTTGGGCCATGATTTTATTCCGTTTTCCCCTATTTTAGTTATATTACGAGTTCATGGACTGTCTGTGTTAGCCAAGTAAATATCCCCCCGCCCATAGGTTTCAGCCTCTTTACACAACTTGATGTAAAGCAGACGAACAACATTAGTTACCTCCATATTGGTACACACAATTCTGGAGCGCCGATTTTTCATAGCAGGGTCTGTTAATTGTTTGCCTCATTGCTCATTTTCATGTTTTTATCTTTAACCAAATGTAAGTTCAGTTCATGTTTTATATTGATACTTGGTGATTGAATTTGATAGCACATGATAACTAAATAGCTCGCCTGTATTGCATTGATATGCTGACAATTATTTGTAATTTTGCCTTTTTTTGTTACAAATAGGTTTCTCAATATTTGCTGCTGGCATCATCACTGGACTTTCAAATTTAGCTTGTGGTATTTGTGTTGGAATTGTTGGAAGCGGAGCAGCTCTAGCAGATGCTGCCAATGAATCTTTGTTTGTGAAAGTAAGATACTGTTATCTTCATTTAAAAGTCTATTCTTTGTATTGTCAGGATATCAGTTTTTCTACAAGAAAATGTTGTGCTGAAACTGATATCTACAGGAATACAGCATGCATCCGAGTGAGCACTCACTACTACTCTTGGTATTGCCTTTTCATTTAAATTTTATGCATTTAAGATCTTATCGATGTTGTTTCTATCCTGATTCTGTTGTATTCAGTAATCATTTTATCGCCTCCTCTTCTGAATGAGGTTGAATAAACTAAAATCCTTCATTGTTGCATACAACTATGCCTAATTAGGTCTTCAATTTCTATTGCCCTATGGGGATGAAGATTGTACATCTACATTTGTATCATAAATTAAAAACCAAAATATTTTTTTTCAGGTACTCATTGTTGAAATCTTTGGAAGTGCGATTGGACTTTTTGGAGTTATTATTGGTGTAATAGCAAGCTCGAAAGCAAAAATGGGAAACTTTGAGAACATGGCATAATAAGTCTATCTTGATAGTTGAACTTGTTTATAGATTCAGTTCCGTCCTTCAATGTTTGTATACAATAAGATTTTTCTCGGTCGAAAATTGTACTCCGTCACTATCAAGCATGAATTAAACCATTGATGGGCTACGTCTCGAGGCATATTTCATTGAGATTTAGAATGTTTTCTGTATCGTTGTGTGAGTGTATTATTTATATCCAGGGTCGTTCACATCATTTACCCTGGTCCAATGATGTTTCAAATTAAGTTTATTCTTTTAAATGTGATACAGAATAATAAAAGACTTTTATTATATGATAAAACAATCGTTTTTGAAAAATGTTGAATGTAGATAGAGACGAATTATAGAAGTAATATAGCTTATAAATTCCTAATTTTGAAATAATGGAGTAGGGATTTACCATTATTTTTTAATTGAGTATATACTGCAATTTTAAACAGTGTACCAGTGATATGATACAAAAATTGTGTTATTCGGGTATTCAAATAATGTTTATGCTCTATCCATTCAGGTAGCATATGAATTTTGGTCTCGACTGTATTCAGATATGATGCCATTTAGCTTTGTTACTTTTTTCATATGTGTAACTTGAGATCGTTATGACACTCAATTTCATGAAATATATATCATTTTCATGAATTCCTTAATTATAGTTGGTTGTCGATCATGTAATTTACACCTGATACAGAATTTTTTTTGTGCAATGTTAATGTCTGTTTTGTTGGTATGTTGAAAATATATTTATGACTATTAAATAAATAAGCGTTACGATGGTAAAGGAGTTATCATCACTGCTTTGGCTTTTTCAGCAGTCTTTATTGATTTCCAACTGGTGGGTAATTTCCTACTAATGAGGTTTACATGTTTTTCTCGGGGTGAAGAGCGCCGATAAGAGGGTTTAATCATATGGCGAACCACGGCCTCTCAATTCTGTAACCGACCAGCGGCTAGCGTGAATCGCCTAGAATCTACCTAGTGGGGAATTTGATGGCAATTAATTCTCAAATTTCGCGTGACATCATAACCACGTGACAAAGTCGCTCGACCAAAACTGCGGGTATATCTCGCTGCCGTCTGCCAAGTGCAGTTTTAAGTATTCTGTGGCGTCTACAGCTGCCGCAAAACCATGACGGTATTTCCATACCATGGCCGCTACGACCCTACGACCAAACCTATGGCGGCTGACTTTTTAGCTGCCACAAACCAATAACGAGCTGCCGTTACCGCGGCAGCAAATTGAAAACCAATGGCAGGTAAAATTTTGCTGCCGTAACCACGGCAGGTGGGCCGTAAAGACAGGGCTGTCCATTATGGTGACAAATATTGGGTAAGTTGGAACGTTTTTCCTATGGATACAGTTTTGATGGATATGGGGTTAGGGTTTAAGTATATATAATTCCGCATGGTCAATTGAAATCTGATACATTAATTTGTAAATATACCGTTAATACTGAATACTGAATAGCGCTATAAAACCATGACAAGAGCTGCCGCGGTTCGTTCGTGGCAGGAGCTGTCATGAAGTGATAAGAACTGCGCCTCTCGTCTTGTTTGTTTGTTCCTGCAGCTTAATAGTGCAAGGCTTTATGATAATATGTTACGATGAGACAGGGTGTTAGCACTGCATTATTTTCGGTTTGCCTGGATCTGTAACAGTGTTTGTCTGTCATCTCCAGATTTTTAATAGCATACTGTAGCTGTAGGTAACGCGTATGTAGACTGTAAATAATCTCCTTTTTATTGTTGTGCATTAATCCAGCTTCCATCCAAAATGACTGGAATCGGCGTGAATGTCACCTTCCTATGAAAAGATGTTGCGGCTTGTGGGATGAAGGTGTGTGTGCTCTGTGTTGCACAGCCATCACTTCCGGGTATTTCACGCCGCAGATCAGGAATCACTCTGGCATCTTCGTAAACTGTTGCCGCTCTAGTAACATCTCTTCTAGAAAAATTGTGAAGGCAGCATGTTGCCTCTATGACAGAGTCAATATTGCTGAGCCTCAAAAGGTATCAGCCGATGATAAACTCTACTGATTGAATAATATTCTAATGTGCTTTCCGCCGTTCTAGTCCAGATAGTGGCATATATACCATTGCATGGATTAGTTAGGATAGGGGTGTGCAACCTTTTTTGCAAGCGGGCCATATATCAATAACTGGGTAAAACCGCAGGCCGCACCTTCATTTAACATAGGCTTTCCATTAGTTGTTACTGATCTCATGCAGTCCTCATTAGGTGTCCTTGCAAAAATGATGAGTTAAAACGCATAAATTTCTCAAAACTGTAATCCAAGTATATAGACGTCATAGCAAACAGAAACAAATCTCACGGAGGTAACAGAAATATTTGAAATAAATAAAAGTAATAGCCTTCTGGAGAAAAAATTTCACTTTAACCAGTAAAAATTTCGAAGCAATCGGTCCAGTAATGAAAGAGAAAAGCGTTTTTTTAGATTTTCCACTAGATGTCCAAAAAGTGTCAAAGAACAACAACAAGACCAACATAATATTGAAACGATCGTTATGTCCACTACGGGTCCAATAATTAGTTGAACTCAACGACTAACATACCGTTGAACTCGATGACCGCGTGTATGGTCGTATCGCTCCCTCCTGTCCATACCAAAATAATTTTATGGTTGTTACTTTTTATTGTATTGTATTTTTGGTTGACAAAATAATAAAGTTCTCTCTCTCTCTTGTAATTTAAATTACCTAATTTTATTTCATTGCATCCCCTCTTTTTTGTGAGAAGGCCGGTCGTAAGCTAACAAACAGACTCATTCATCGCTTTAAATATAGTTCATGGCAACTTTCATCTGACGGAAATGGAAATTACTCGGAACCCAACTAGTATCTAGAAGCTATACAAAAAATATATGAACTGGTATATCGTACCGATATTATTAATCAGGGGAGAAATATCGGAACGATGCAGGCGCGGCGGTGTGGCTCTCTTTTCCTCCGGGATAAATATGTAGATCCCATTTTCATACCCTCAGTTTATGAGTGTACGTGCTTCACGTGAGGCGCTATTACACTGAGCCGGCCTTATTGTTTATGTTGACGATTTCCCTCTGACATAAGAACTGCATGCAATGCGACGCCGCTGGTTATTTTGCCGGCGAATTGGACGGTGAGCGCAGCAGGCGTGTGTGTAATCTTTCCAGTCTTTGTATAAGTTTGTGAAATAGTTATGGATAAGAAAGTTTATTATACAAAAACGCAAACCTCGGACAATTATCCTCCCAGAGTTCTTCATATTTGTAGATCGGTTGAATCTTCAATTGGCGGAAATTTGACGACCTCGACAATCGGGACATCGTCAGCGCTGATGGGTGATAGAAGTCCTTCACCTAAGTAAGTGGTCTTGATATAATATAGAAGTAATTTTATAAATAATACTCAATTTTAGTAGAGTTTTCTAGAGTCAATATTATAATGTACCCCAATCTGTATTACAGTGGGTATTGCATGTATTGTGAGTGACTTCTTCATGCTCCCACAGTCCAGCAGTCAGTACCGGTAATGAGGCCCTGAGGTCAAGAAAAATGGCATTGTCTGAATAAAACTGCAAAGCCACTGTTTATTTAAAACCACTCAGCAATTCCATTAATTCAATATTGTTTTGGAAATAAATTATTAATGGATGCATGAAGTTTATACAAAAACCTTTCGTTTTTATCAATTTGAATGACCTATTGCTGTATTGTTTCCAGTGAGGTTTGTTGTGAAAACTTATTTTGCCATATTTTACACAAATTGTCTGAATATTAATTGGAAATTTAAATACCGTAGTCTTCTAAATCAAAACCTAATTTATGGCAGTATAAGAAATGGGACTTGTCTGCTCAATAGTCATTAGTGTCGAATTCATGCTCAAATTGCTGATAACAACTTCAGAAAATTGGTCCTTTAAATATTAGCGCATCCAAAATCCATACATATCATAGATTAAATAGGCTATACCAGAGTGTGTAATTTGTATGATTTTTTTGTATTTGAAATGATTAGATCCATGGCTGACATTGAGCCATATACCATGTTAAGCAGCTACACCATTTTGTCTTGATTCTTTGCAACTTTATCCCGATACTTGTGAGTTTATGGACTGGCCCAACCAACACCGGCAAGAGCTTCAGGTTGAATATCAAGCTTGTCAAAATGAAAAATTTATTGCTGTTTGCTCGAAGATTTGCACATTATGTATATTATGCGCTAGGACAGTAGGAACACACCAGCACTGCTGATTATCATGTGTGGTTTTGCAAGTTAAAATATCATGGGAAATAAGGATTTCTGGTCTGCAGGGTGTTTCATGATACCACTGGTCAGTTACAGCTTCCTCCACCACCATAATCTGGTTCACTATTTCTATATCCGACATTGTCCTTTTCTACGAGAAAAATTTAACTCTATTATTCATATTTTTCGTGCCACCTCCAATTAACTTGTTTACATAAAAAACAATATGATAGTGCATATATTTGTTGCCAGGTAGATTCCTATTTAATGGGCTAACAGATTGCTTTTTTGTTTTAGTGTCTGTACTGTACCACATGATAGAAATAACAATGTCATAGTGTCACCGTCCTGGGCATCCAAACAAAATCCAAGCATAAAGCAAAACGACCTGCAAGTCAAGCTTCCTACAACAGTAAACATCAAGACTGAACCAGAGTGCGACTCTCCAAATATAGTGCAGGTAATGAAAATTAGAAAAAGTACTATGAGGCTCTCCAGAAGCTACTTACCGGTAATTGATGACATACTTAATTATTCGGTGTACTTAATTGATAACGTTTTCACAATGTTACTATGATCTCTGAATATTTTAATTTCCAAGACTCCTTCCAAGCTATCATTATGATGGAATAGGGCCATACATTCGATTTTAATATATGCTGATCTGATTTGAGACTTTATGTGTCCCGGAACAAATACGCTTTTTATCTCACCTCGCGGAACACCAAGAAATTAAAAGGTAAAATCATTGGCTGGTTTTTAAAAAATTTGGCCTATGATAAAATTAAAAAGTTTGCTGTTAACTTGACAATTAAAAAATTAGGCCGAAAGTTAAAACTCCATGCTTTCAAGACTGGCACGAGGCCTGTCCTCTTGTTAAGATCGCAAGGCCTGTTCACCTGTTTGTCGACAGGCGGGAGACAAATGCTGGAGTACGGTTGAGATCGCCATGGCAACCAATTTATTCGCAATTTTGATCACTCTTCTGCCGAACACTCTGAAGAGGTTCACAGAGCAGCAGTGTTCCACGGAACATAGTTTGCTAAATGCTGGTATAGGGTGACAATTTGGTTAAGCAGAACTTCAACCGGATACCCCAAACATATCTCGTAACTGGCAACTGCACTATTTATGCCAGGCCTGCCCAACCTTTTTCGCCTCGCGGGCCACCTTCACGTGACAAAATTCGTTGCGGGCCGCAAACGTTTGTACCTATCATTAATATCAGCTAAGTCCTGATTTCGCTGTAGGTAATTCACATAATACATAAAAGGCAAGTTTATTAACATAAAATCAATCAATTTCATAATTGCTTTCTGGTTACTGAGTAGGGCAGGCAAATTATTCAAATATTAAGTCAAATAAAAGAAGAGCAGGTTACTATTCGAATATCTGGTAACACGGGGCGTGGACATGACACTTGCGTTTTTTTGACGACCACACGAGAACACACACATCACGTCGAAATTGAGTGTTATATTCGCCTGTACTTTTTTTTTTTCAGTAGCTATGATACTGCCTCAATGTTCAAATGAGCATAATGTGCGCCAATGTCACAGAAATATCAAGTTTGAGTGGACAGTTTCTTGCAATTTGAAACACCAATACAAGTATTTATTGAAGTAACATTATAAAGATTTCTGGACTAATAGCCTATATATACTGATTTGTAACCAATATGCAGCAATTCCATTAAGTCATCATATTTCATCAGAAATATTGACGGATAGACAGTGGCGATTTCCGAAATCTTATTTAACCTAAACATTAAATAAAAAAAAATACAAACATAAAAGGGCAACGAGTCCCGGGACCAGTAAGTAGGCCTACCAAAGATATTGTTGACTTTTTATTTAACGTTAGCGATAAAGACAACCAAAGCAGACAAGTAAGAAACAATCAGAATGAAATTAATTTGCAAATTCAGGATCCAAATTCATTCCTATAATTGCACTCAGCGTTCGTCCTCAATGATCCGCACAATATCTTTAGAGTTTCTCGAACAGAACGCTCAGTTAGGCGAGAAATAAAAAACTGACGTCGATGTCCACCAGGGTGCAAGACTTGACACATACGTAATAATAAGAATCTGCATTTGAATGTAGATAGATGGCAGGAATAATCACATCAAGATCACGAAACATATTCAAGCCTATATATTGATATATAACATAGAATAAAAATAAAAAATCTGCTTACAAACTTTATTTACATTTATTTATTTACATTCATTTATTTACAAACTTACTTACGGGCCGCCGGGTTGGGCAGCCTCGATTTATGCTATCCATCTCATGAATTGGTGTTCTGATTATTACCTATTTTAAATCCAACCTACTCTTTACTGGATTGGCTATCAACAATTTTTCACAGACACAACTAATGGAACAGTTGGATTTTTTTTATTTCATTAAGTTATGATGTTTACTTAATATTAAATTCATCCCAAGTGATTCAAGAGTCTTGCTGCACACTAACACAAATATATTTCTGTAACGTTTCGTCTGACCAAGGTCAGACTTCTTCAGAAACCAAATCATTATAAATCATGTTATAATTTATATAATGGGGAGGATACACAACAGTAAATTGATAGGCACTTATGTGAAAGTTTAATTTATTTACCTGATGTAATTTTCATTAAAATTGGAATGAGGTTATAAATTTGAACTATAAGATTCATATCTAGATGCTCAATTTTTCTACCCGGTAAGAAGCAGAATTTATTATTAAATATTCATTCTTACATAATTTATTAATATTGAACCCCAATGTATTACAAAATCAGATGAGTGTTATCAGCTACTTCTATGTTCTTTCAATCTGAGACATAACAATAACATCGTGCCTGCAGGCAATAAATTTTCTCAGTGTTTCATTTATGAAAGTTAATAATCGTTTGGTTTTCAAAATTTTTGGCCGTTATGGTCGCCCTTTTCAATTAAAATTTCATCAAACTTGTTTTTTTGTATAGACAGGTTAGTCGAACGTACACAGTGTGAATTATTTTTGTTTAAGGAGTCATCTTTTGTTTGGTTTGAAATTTTCGTTTCATTTTGTATAACATACTGGTACATTAAATCATAATTTAAAATATACAAGAAGAGTATAGCACATAAAAATACATGCTTTTGAATACTCATACCAATTTTGTCGCATATTAAGAAATATAGGTTGGCCTTGCCTTCATGAATATATCAAATTTTTTTTTAAACTAAGAACAGGTGCCATTGACACATGTTGGTTGGAATATTATTGTTATGAAATTGCGAAATGCAGCTAAACCAGAATGATACCTTCATAAATTTGAGTAAATCTGTGTTCAAAATGCATGATATAATATAATATGGTATTCACAAAAACTCAAAATTACTTGAGTGCAAAAAGGAAACATTTTATGAACATACTTTATAGAGCATTGGTTCTTAATCTTTTAAGCCGCGCGTGTTTCAGAATTTGTCAATTCCCGCGCCCCATCAATAAAATGACTAGCTAATAAAGAGTTACGAAACACAGATAGTGAGGCAAAATTATGTTTTATAAAATGTTGAAAATATGTGGATGGAACATAAATATTTAAAATGAAGAAATGTGAATATTTAAAATATTATATAAAGGCGGGCAAGATCAAATCTTAACAAATACTAATATTTTTAATTAGGTAGTTTTACACACTTTCAAAAAAAATTCTCTTATATCTATCTCGATTAGGGCTGTCCAAAATCGAATAATTTTTTGATTCGAATCGAATCGAATATTTTCGCCGAATCGAACCGAATAATCGAATATTATTGCGCAATAGTAAATCTGTCTCTATTATTCAATAAACGCCTGCCCTTCGATGTTGTGGTAACGTATGTGCAGTTACATCAAAAGAGATCACACGCTTGTATGAACTGGTCAAAAAAATTGGAGAACTCCAAAATTTGGGTCTCGAAAACTGTTGAGTGTTAAGAGTAAAAATTGCACTATTCAAAAATTGCAATCTCAATTTTGATGGATTCAGTTTTAGTAGGACATATAAAGCCTGTAGATGCTATTTTAATCCTATTCACTAGTCTTTATGTTTTTTTGTGTAATTTTCAGCAAAATAATAACAACCATCAATATAGATAAAACTGTTGCTCAAGTTCAAAATTGCTTTTAAAATTCCAAGCTAGTTTGATGACAATATTATTTGAGGACTATAATATTGTTAGTGTACAACAGCCATCAAAATGCAAGAGTGCAATTGTTTGTCTTGGTATATAGATGGATAATACAGTAATGCCATCATGAGAAATTACAAATTCCATTTAAAGAAGGTATTGCCATCATAAGGATCCCAAAACACCTGTTTCAGCTTTGAGTTGCCTGTACCATGTTCCTATAATAACTAACTCAACAGCTTCAAATCGATTCTATTTATAGAACTATCGTTTTCTAAATTGTCTCCTTTTTCTCCTTGTTCTCTCTCAAAAACGTCACGATCGACTATACCTTGTTATGATGACCACGCATGAAATGGCTAATCACGTGCCACCGGGCGGGCATTAGTAATGACATGTTTATCACAAAATGAAGGCGAGAGAAATATCGGGAAACCAATTAAGCAAGCCGGGAGCGAGAGTGGTCTGAGCTCGGAGCGCCGCCGCTTGCCCGATGAAAAACATCCCGTAAAGGTGGTTTCCGCTTTATGTACCGGTACCTAATTTTAGCGATTCGAAAATTAGCCGAAAAACGATTCGAATAATTTGCGATTCGATTCGATTTCGAATATTTGGTTCGCTTGGACAGCCCTAATCTCGATGGTGAGAAAAGCCAATTACATGTCAAACCATAGCTTCGTTTGTGTTCACTATTCCCTATTCTCATATGGGAATAGGCAGCTTATTAATAGAATAAGTAGTAAGCAACCAGTGGTTTTTTGAATAATGCTAAGACAGTGACGGAGGGGACTAGAAATTCCTGCACAAAACTCTTGTTCTCAATCAACTCCTGTGTCATATTGCCAAACTATTATACTGCTGCACATTGACATGTTAGAAACAGGTGAAAGTTTGTTTGTACTCAAACAGAAATTTATCAGTCATGTGATCCATTCCATATTTTTTTGTTGTTGAATTTTGTTTTTTTAATGTCAATTTGTTTTAACCGAATGGTTCCCAACCTTATATGCTAAATTCCTTCCTTCCCTTTTCCTATTGTGAAACTCATCTCTCCCTTTTCACTGCTCGTAAAAACCATGTTGTTTTTCATTTCTTAATGGATCACTACATTCACTAGTACTCTGTTTACTATTTGTACATAAATATCAAAATATGTTTTAATATTTCTGAGTAAGCAATGAACATTGTTAATACTACACACAAATACGAGGTAAAATACCTTCTCTCAAAACAATGAAATTGCTCGAAGGGAAGAAATTCTGCTGGGTCCGGAACACTGTTTTATCTAATCCTCTCCGCACCATTCAGATACCGGGGTATATTAGAGTGCAACATTTCAATACAGTCATCGTGACAATATAATTTTCAGAGTCTTTCACCAAGAAAGTGTAGTTACGACACGCGAGTACATTGTAGCTCTAATTTTGTCCAACTACTATTGCTGTAATTGAATTTGAATATTCTATTCTTCTTATTTCTCATCTTACTCATGAATCATCTCTCTGGCTTTTATTCAAATTTTCAAAAGTTTGGACAATAAATTTGATAGCGGAAAATGGGGAGATCCAACATAGCACTATTAGCAAGGTTTTTGACAAGGGGAAAAAAATTTTGCCCACCTAGATCGTCGTGCCATGTAAGTGTGACGTGAAAAGTTACATGTGACCATAGCCTACACAACAAGCGCACTGGGTGAAAGAAAGAGGCGTGAAAATCATGTTGTCGAATCGAGTGAGCAAGAAAATGTGAAGTTTCGTTAGCGTCCCCATATCATGAAAGTCTGTGGCAACTTAAAATACAACTTACACAGACTACGATCATAATCTAACAAGCATATTGCAGGGCCAGATTGAATCACCCAACGGGCCGGATTTGAACCACTGGCCGCAGTTGGCCCATGTCAGTTCTAGGGAGAACAAAACTTATTGTAAAAATGCCTAGATTACTGATTGTTTTGGGTACAATCATACTCAGATGGAAGTTCAAGTGTTGAAAAAATTACCGTGGTAATTAATAACAAACTGATGAGTTCTGTTTTGGGGTTATCTCTTATGTGTCATCGAGTATGAATGTTTGTGTTATTCTGTATTTAGTATGTACATACTTGCATGTTGTTCCTAATAATTTCCTCTAGCGAGTTTGTGAGCATGCTTTGTCTTTATGGTTTATGAGTGCTCTGGCAAAATTTTGAACTTGGTGTGCTGTTACAAGTAAACACAAATAGTTTAAATAGCATTTCCTGTAAAATCCAGAACAATTATTGACAAAATATAAATTAATGCGTTTATGTAATTGTTTTGATTTTTTTTACACCAAGATGACGGTACCTTGTTCATCAAAGATGAGGCGAGTTCGACGTTTTGTACCTACAGCCAGAAAGGATGAATTTTATTGGATGAAAAGAAGGAAAAACAATGAGGCTGCCAGGAGGTATTAATTTTTTCAGTTGCATAGTAGCCTACTTTTTCAGCATTTATTATGTTTTGAAAGTAAAGACTTTTACTTACTATTTTACTATATTCTAGAAACCTTTCATAAATTCAACATCAGAGAAATATTGTATAGTATGAATAATGATACATTCTTATATGACATATTTATAAACTTTTCTTAACCAAAGCTCTAAATAGGCTAGGTAAGCAGCTAGAGCAGTGGTTCCCAAAGTAGGGTCCGCGGACCTTCTGGGGACTGTGAAGCATGGCTTATAGCTTGATCATACAAAAATTAAGTACCGTGGTTCTCCGTGTATAATATGCACTTTCATGGTCAAATTTAGTCTCACAAATATGGGGGTGCGTACTGCGTATTATACATTGGTCTAGAAAATATAAAAAATATTAATTCTCATTTTATGCTTTAACTGGCTAATAATTGTCACATTTATTAATCTTAAGTTCCTAATTTAATGTGGCAAAGTCTGTTAAAATCAGATCATGCTTGATTCGGTAGAAGCATACCCAGTCCTCAACAATATAGTGTGGATGAAGGCACACCCTTAACTGCTGTCATTGTCTGGTCTATTTCTCTCGTTTCGCCGAATTGGCAAAACTTTACCATAATAAATCACCATATGAGTGACCTATAACTTCTCTCTGAAGTGTGATGTCTGAAAACAGGTTCTGATATCAGGCCTTGTCAGCTTTTAAATGGGAAGGGACAAATGAATTTTCAAGGTACTTTAATGTCAAATAACATCACATCATGATTGACAGATGTATCACAGGCAAATACAAAACATATTACCAGATATATATATAGTTAACAAAAGGCAAGCAGACAGAATGCCTGAAACGACTGACCGGGAAAAACACCTACAAGGCAAAAGAATTTTGATATGCGTATTATGCATGGAGTTTAAAAAATTCTAGTTGAAAATGTACTAAAACCTGGGTGCGTATTATCTTTGGTATATTTACATGGAGAAATACGGTACTTAAATTTGCAAATACACATTTGTCGCTTTTTGCTGCTTCGCAATCACTGCTGGAGACACTTATTCTTCACCCATTGAATGACAAGTTTTTGGTTGCTATTAGATTTTCTGATTATGTATATTGAGGAAATAATGATATATTGTTGACTCCTGTCGGCGGTTTTGTTTTCTATTTTATTTTTATTTTTATGGTACTTGATCCAATTTCGTAATGAATTTTAATTAAATTGAATATAATATATATGTGGTATTCACATCATTAATTTCATAACAGCCGATACTATTTGGGAACTTTTAATGAGCCAATTGATGGTGGCCAGTTTATTTTTCTCTTATTTAATTTGAAACCTTTACCCAATTAAAAACGTTGTTTTCTGGATCAAGCTTATTAATGAAGGGGAGAATGGGAAACTCATGCGCTAGAACTGTAATACCACAGATAAAAGCGTGCAATGATCCCCATTTTTTACACAGTATTGTAATTGGATGGTCTTCTACATTTTAACGAGGTTTTTACTCTCAGAATCCCATTATTATATAACCTATTTCAACTAATAGGGTATGCACATCCTGGTTTGTTTTGAAAATGCATCCTTGATGATTGCCAGGATTTATTTTGAATCTGTGAAATTCCAAAAACACAAATATATCTTTTATTTTTTGATTTAATTCAGCTGCCTTATTTTTAAAATACACCCGTCTGTGTACCTTAGAAGGCTTAGATGACTCATATTTTGGAGACGATTTTCCAACTGTCCCATGTTTATGTTTTAGTCAAATTGTATGTTCGGAGACTCTCATAACATCTATTTTTTTTCAGATCGAGAGAAAAAAGACGGACCAATGATCTGGTGTTGGCCCAGAAAGTATTACTGTTATTAAAAGAAAATTTTCAACTGAAAAGAGAGCTGCTAGCAGTTAAAGTATTTTATTTTTCATGAATTTCAATTTAAAAATAGTTATATAATTTTTGATGGTCGCATGCTTTTAATATTGATTTTTTTGTAACCTTTTATTTTTGTTAGTAGCGTTATCAGCCTCCTGGAGGTTTGTAGTCTTTCTTCTGTTTGGAAATTTTAGTAACAAGAATACTAATACTCCACCACAATACCGTCATTTTTAAAGAATCCAAAACTGGTAATCTTACTTGTTTGTCTTCAAGTCACTGTATGATAATAACAGGTTATTTTTGGATCAGTGACTTAATTTTAGCCACAAACCATACTCGTATCTTTTTATCTCTAAAAACAATTTATTGTTTTGATTAATAAGTTCATTGTATGCAAATTTTTGTACTCCCGAAGTATGTGAACCAAGATGGTGGACACCAGAACATAGTATGTGTACCAGGTTAGGGTTAGGCCATAATTTCAGGAACAAATACTACGGGAGTCACTCGGCGAGTCCCCGAACTGTTAATAAAACTAAAATAAGGACAATCGGAATAAAATTATGTCCTCACCCTAACCTGGTACATATACTACGTTCCAGTGTCCGTTATCTTGGTTTACATACTTCGGGAGTTCCCAAATTTTATTAAATAAATATCGCAAATGCATAATTCCTCACAGCTCAAATACAATGAAATTGATCCATCAGAAGTTGAAGAAATAGATAAGTATTTGAGGAAACATGAACTTCATGCCGATATTCAAGACGGTCTCAACCTAATGAACTTCGATTTGCAAGAGGTAGGTTAATTTTTATTATACGTGGATGCAGTCATGCATGCATGCTGAAGTGTTCAAAATTTATCTTTTTTTTTCCATTTCACAATTGAATAACGATTTTCAGAAAAAAAGTTAAAAAGGAGCATATTTACAAAGTCGGACTGGCAATATTTAATGCATTAATAACTGTTGATAAATGACAGTGAATACTTTGTGTAACTACTGTCAATAACTACTGTTAAATAAAAAGGGAAAAGTTAATAAAAAAAAGTCTCGGGTATCTTGTTACCCTTATTTTACTTTTACCACTAGTATTAATGATAATTCGACTGGAAAAGGGCCTTCCGGAAGGCCCTATTTTAGGTCATTTTTACAATAAATTTTCACAGTACATTATAGCAGAAAAACTTCTTAGTTTTTCAGCTTTGAATAGTTCATTAAAGGTTATTTACAGACACTTAACAGCTACTGCACATATATAGTTTTTATTAGTCTGCTCAACTATTGAAAATAAGAACTTTTTGTCACCTATGAAAATTTTTATATATTTTTCAAAATTCGCAATTATGGGCAACCCAGGTATTAATCGAGGCACTTTTTTTTACTGTTTTGCAAGTTTCTATAGATTTACAACAATTGCAAAGTGATTGGAATGAACTGCTACCACTCGATAATGTCGTAAATTTTGTATAAACATGTAGACAAAAGGGCCTTCCGGAAGGCCCTATGTTTTTTTCACACCATTCAACTATTTTGACCAAATTGAAGACTACAGGGCTTTAAATGAAAGCAATAAAAGTTGTAGTTGCAAGCCTGGCGATTACCAGATGACATAGTCATTATTTTGTCTTCATATCTCCAATTATAAGCAAGTTACCTAGTTTATTGATCAGATTATTAGATTAATTTTTGTTGTTCCGGTGTCAAAAAATATTTTCTTCGTAATTGCAGGTACTTTTTTTTGCACGAGGCATGATTTCATGTTGGTTACTTGATTTATTGAGAAACAAAATGCAATAGAGAATGTTTAATGATATATAAAAGATGGACATTACTATAGAAAATGTTAGGGCCTTCCGGAAGGCCCTACAAAAATAATCAGTTATATGTGTCGATGTGGACCCTTAATATTGAGAGGAAAGCCTGTTTTTTCGAAGGGAAGCCAAAATTAAACACAAATTATCATTTTATGTTATTGATTAACATAATAAATATATTTAGGTTAAGTTTAAGCTATACAGAAGAATATTTCGAATTTAAAAATAGATTTCTACTATATACAGTATCATTATAATTTGTGGTTGGATGTGGTTTCTGGGTTAATACTTTTCAAGTTTTTAGAGAAAGCTGGAGTGAAATTTCATGATATTACATTGTGAATTGTGATATAATATTACAGTGTGTGAAATAGACTATAAAGATTTAAGACCTAGAGTTTCAGATGAAGAGAACATAGAAAGAACTTAAGAAAGATTCGAATTAGGAAATTACTTTGAGCGCAATGCAGAGAGTAGCTTTGGTTTGAATGAATGAAGAACAACCAAACAGCAGTTTAGGTAGCAACCAAAAAAGACTGAGAGTTAGGATTCTGAAGTTGAGAAAGAAAAGGAAGTTAGTGAATGTGCTGCATGCTAAGAAAGCACTCAGCACATTCACTAACTTCAGTGAACTAACAGAGATGAATGTATTTTCATTCTCAGACGAAGAAAGTGACAGAGTCTGATTAATAAGACATAGAGTCTGATTAAGACATGGATACAATCCCCTTACAGCAGAGAATGATAGGCAAAGTGGAGACAGAGCCTTAGGATGAATTATTAAAGGTGTAGTGAGTTAGTTGCCCATTCAAACTTCCAAATTTTTTTGCAGATAGATTTGATAAAAGGATAACTTTAACTAGCTAGAAACAAAATGAGAATGGCACTCTGGAAATATCCCTAGACTGCAAGTAGCAGAAACTTATTTGAAATTTGTCACTGTCATCATTATAATGTGGGTACTGGATCCTTTGGTTTCTAAGATACGTAACTAATGCGCTCTTGTGACCACTGTCAATTTAGAGCAACATGGGTTTTCTACTAATAAATGCTCATCTTTGGATGTTATATTTGATTAATAAAGACAACATATCAACCAAATCTTGCATGATATTCTTTACATCACGAGCAAACATTTCAAATTCAAAAGTTTTATTGTCCCAAGTAGGCACTGACTTTCAATGAGTGATCGTCTTTCATTTACTGAAAATTAATGCCCAGCTGTCATTTGGGGAACACCTTCCCTCCCATCAAAAACGAAAAATGTAACTTTCTTTTCAGATAACATGGCTTAAAATAATATTTCCCTTTTTATTTGATAGAGGTACATGCTCTAATTACTGAAAATAGGAAGTTTTTTAGGTTTCCAGATACCGGGTCTTAGGGCCTTCCGGAAGGCCCTTTTCAAGAAAATTTTTGAAATTGTCTCCCATCCATCATGTTGTTTGTGTTAGTATTAATTTTCGAAGTTTTTTTTGGTATTAGGTATTCGTGTTCTGGGTTTTTAGAGAAAAAAATGTACCTAACTGAATATAGTTAAACAATAATCCCTCTTATAAAACTGATCGTTTAAAATTTTTGATGAAAAATTTATAATTTACGAAAAAAATTGTATTTGCCCTTTTTTCTGTTAGCAAATTTAGTTTTTCAGTGCAACAACATGATACAAGAAATTCATAAACATGAAAAAATTAGATCACAAAGGTTTTTTTATCTGAGAAATGAGGATTTTAAAAAATTGATTTTTTTCAAATTTTTCAAAAAATTGAAATTTTTATTAAAAGTAAATAGGTCAGTGATAAAAAAATAAAGTGTTTTATAGAAATTGTAACCCATGATTGTGTTCATGAGTAACTGGCAATCAATTAATACCTTAAGCTAAAGAAAATTCAAAATCAAACTACACGAAATCAGGTTTCAAAACTATTTGATTAAAAGGGCCTTCCGGAAGGCCAAAAGACCTTCCGGAAGGCCTTTTGTCGAATTATCATTAATTTTGCATTTCTACTCTGGTAACTTCAGTAGGCCTATATATTGTAACTTGTAAGCAAGGTATCCTTAAGGTGCACAACTGCGACCGCCATTCATACACCATTTCCGCTGGAAAATCTCATTCTAGCGTGCTTGCAACAATTTCGAAGCGTGGCTCGTCATATTTTCTAATGCATGCTAGAATCCCCGTTCCTTGTTCTTATGTCTGAAATTATCTGGAACGGGCCATTTTCAGCCAAGCCTGCAATGCCAACGTGGGACGGTGTTGCATTTAGAAATTCTTATTATGCGCTCTGGATTTAGTGTTGTCACGCCAGCAAAATTGACTTGTCCGTAGTAAAGTCAACACAAATAAAGATATGGAAAGTTTAGAATTTAAATGAATATTTGCTGTGCCCACTGTTTTTAGACGGTATTTGTTGGCTGCTCGTAGGCGTATCGTTAGGCTAGAGCTAGACTGAGTTTAATGAGGGAATAAATGAAAGTGAAATGCTCAAAAAAATCTGAAAACCTGGCTTGAGGTTACGAAAACTCGAAACCTGGGTTTCAAAATAATAAACCTGAGCGGGACACCATATTATGAACCGATGATGTTAGTTATATAATCTATTATTTAATCTGTAACCTAAACCTTTCATGGAAACAAATAATCATTGGTTAAGCTTGACGAAAGGTCCGGAGTCGGACCGCGGTTTGCCAGTTGAGTAGCCCTGTTCTAGAATAACGTAGATGCACTACAAATAATAAACACCGTCGTTTTGTTTTGGTTATTAATGATGTATTCACATTGTTTACATTTAATCGAAAAATGCTGCCTTAATTGTGCGCCATTGTTCTATTTATGTAATAATAAACATAATATTATCAATTTGTATGTTATATCAAATTTTGGTTGTACTTGAATCCACATTGCTTTTGGGGCCCAATGAGCCATCTACATTTATCTCATGTGATATGTGGTGACGACTGAGAAAATCAATTCGTCAATGGTGATGATATTGCTACCATGACACGCAGATTAGTAATAAAATTAATATTCAACCGACATCTATATTGGTATTTTTTATCATTCATTCTCCATATGGTGAAGTAAATAACCTAACTTCTACTCAATTGTTGGAGATAATACATTACATACTTATCTGTGACTTTTATCAAATTCTCATGTCTTTAGAATAATTACTGGAATAAAAATAACACTACATCACATTCATTATTTTTCTGCTCCTCTAGTTACATCCAACTTTTGCAATATACTTTTACACAGAAATTTTTCTGATAATAGCAATATTTTTTATTTACAAAGTCATTTTCTCCTCTTCTGGGCGATGAAATTGTTTCTAAGTTAAAAACAAATTGATTGATCTAAACTGCTGGTCTTTTCCTGCTCTTCTCTCTAATAAAATTAAATGTTTCTTTTTCAAGTATTCAGGGATCGATTCGATTTAGATTCGTTTTCAATGGGCCAATATCAAAAATAAGTATTTTTTTTATTCAGCCAATTTGATTTTTCCAATAAAAAACAGTAGTCATATGTGCGAGGAAATACTCAAGAATATGGGAAATACTGTGTTACTTTCCAAGAATAATATCAAAACTTGGCATTATTTCATTTATAAAATGAAGCATCACAAAGGATGATAAAAATATTTCACTTTCTTCATTAAAAGGGATTTTTGTGTATATGGTACACATTTAAGTATTTCAGGTGACGAGGAAAGCAAGCTTAATTTATAATTTTGTATGAAACCTAAATATTATGCAGATCAGTGATCTATGTATAATTCAACACGGTAGTCTAATTTGGACAAATTGAATTACCATGTTTTATTTGGCAGCTCCGCCGACAATACTATTCTTGTTACTTCCTATAGTTACACTACCATTCTCGTAGAAGCATATTTAATTTTTTTGCCTGGTTGATTGTTACGCAATATTTTTATCAGCTTTTTTTTCTATATGTTTTATAATAAATTACATTATATGAAAATTTTTAATAAAACATTCCACATTCCAATCCGATGGATTTTACCCAGAAGGGCAAAAACTTGAAAAAGCTGTTTGAGATAATGAGAAAAATTTAATTTTTTATTTCTTAACTTCTGTAAATTTTTATTGAATTGAATATTACTTCAAACTATGATTTGATAAAATTTTTATTTCAATTACTACAGATTCATGTGCAACCAAGCTCACAATTTCATTTGGCGAAGTCTGGAGAGACTAAGTTACCATCAACAAATGGTATAGCAAGCTCAAGTAGACTGACAGAAAATGTTAATGGTCAAACCATGCATAATACACTAATACAAAATGGGATACATGAAAAAGTATGTACCATGAAATATCGTTATATTGTGATTAATTTTTATTATCTTTTCCATTCAGGAAGACAATGCTCCCCAGGTGGGGTATTCGATGATTTTGAGGAGTGTGTTCGGTGCAGTATTGCTAATATTCTTAACATATCCAATATTTTTGAGATACATATCCATGCACTGATGCACCTTATAAACTGTTCGATCGTACAAAAGCCGGAGTACGAATTGCGAGTATAGCTAGCTAATATCCATTAAAAATTGAACAACAGAGGAAAACTAGAGTTGCCAAGCTAAGATAGGGAGGAATGAAGAATTTCACATTAATAAGCAAAATATATTTTAAAAAAAGTCCTATTCCACTGAATATTGTATTAGGATTCTGAAGATGAATAAAAATATGTTTATTTTATCAAATTCTAAAATACTCCCGTATGTTACAAATTTTCTCATTGAAGTATCTAACAATATGTTGCAAATCCAATAGTTAATCAAGCCTTGAGAAAATTTGCTGAAATGCCATTTCTGTCAAATGTTTTTAATGTTGTAACTCCTTATTAACATTTTCATAATAAACTAAGAAGTTATTTTGGGCCTTATTAGCCAAAGTCGTATAGGATTCTGTGTTTATAAGGGCTTCTGTTTACAATTATCAAGAAGCCCTTATGAACTTTTGAATCTAAATATATCCTTTCCTAATTGGTTAGTCAGTTGCTGAATTGAAACAATATGAATAATTTGGCTTTTTTAGATCTGTTGCTTTTCAAGGTTATCAATTATTTTTCATCAGGTTTCCTCTATAAACGAAGAGATTAAATCTCACGTTGATGGGAAGCATCAAGTTTTGAATCATACTGTCTTCATGGAAGTTTCATGCAATGCTGAATCCAATAACACAGATTGTCAATGCCCTGAACCTTTACAGTAAGTCTGCAGTTAACTTGAGCTTCTTGAATCAGTGTTCATTATAATTTATTACCAAAATATACTATGTGAGCATTGAGCAATGACATAATGGTTTGCGCATTTGACCTTTCTTTTCTATCTTGTTGTCATGTGTAACAGATTACATCTTCAAAACTATACCAACTACCTGACCAAACCAGAGTTCATATCAACCACCTTGGCCAAAGTTCATACCAACCACCTTCACCAGATTCCATACCAATCACCTTGACCAGAGTTTATACCAATCACCTTGACCAGAGTTTATACCAATCGCCTTGACCAGGGTTCATACCAATCACCTTGACCAGAGTTCATACCAATCACCTTGACCAGAGTTCATACCAATCACCTTGACCAGAGTTTATACCATTCACCTTGACCAGAGTTCATACCAATCACCTTGACCAGAGTCCATACCAACCACCTTGACCAGAGTCCATACCAACCACCTTGACCAGAGTTCATACCAACCACCTTCACCAGAGTTTATACCAACCACCTTGACCAGAGTTCATACCAACCACCTTGGCCAGAGTTCATACCAACCACCTTGATCAGAGTCCATACCAACCACCTTGGCCAGTGTTCATACCGACCACCTTGACCAAAGTTCTGGTCCTTTAAATAAAAGAAAGTTCCTAATATTGGATTATTCTGGATGCTGTTACGGGACCCTCGTGATTAAGTGTTATATGAAAAAATTAATTTTTACTTGTAACTTATATCCAATCTAACTTAAATTTATTTATGTTATTTCAAATTTCAGAAACTCCGTTCCCGATAATGTCCAGAAAACCTTGTCCGATTCCAACAGAGCTTTTGACCTCCAGGCACCATCAGCAGTAAAAAACATTTTTGTACAAAGCTATCAAGTCAGGAATCCAGTAAACTCTCAGCAAAATGGCAATTTCCATGATAATGATATGCACAAGGAAGGTAAAACTTATCATGTGAAGTACATTCCTAATCTAAAGGCTGAACAGCAGCGTAGTAGTATACAGGAAGAACCTAATGAAAAGCTGATCTCGCTGCATACTCGTTCATACTCTGGAACAGATTTGACAAATATTAGCAGTGATTATACATCTACTTCATACGAGGCGAGTTGTGATACATCTCCAAAATCTGCAATTGACCGACATGATGCGCCGGATAAAAATCTTAAACTTCCTTATAAATTGCGTTTCAAACTTGGTACAATGCAGTCAGTGTAGAGTTAAGTATGGTACAAACTTTTTGAAAAAAAATCTTCATAGACCTCCTTCGTTTTATTTTAGCATACGAAACAGCAAAATGTTGTAATCATCCTATCATTGAAACGCCTTTTAAAACCTTACCTATACAAAACTACTCAACTCAAGCTATGATTACAGGGAAACTTTTGGTACTCCCATAATGCGTGTACCAGGTTAGGGTTAGGCCATAATTCTATTCCAATTTTCCATATTTTAATCCTCTTCCGAGTTCGGAGACTGTCTGTGTTAGCCAAGTGAGTATACCCCCAGCCCATAGGCTTCTGTCCCTTTACATAACTTAATGTACAGTAGGCGAACTAAATTAGTTACCTTCATGTGGAGCGCCAAATTTTTTATATTACGTTAGGTTTCATATTCACTAGAGCTGTCAATTAAAAAAATGACTCTATGATACTTTTGGTATGTCAACTGTTCTACTTCATGGATTTTCACAAGTATACTGCACAGAGTCGTAAAACTATGTTGATCGCGTGCTTAATAAATTTAGTAACAAAGAATTATACACACAATTGTTGTCAATATCATTTCTTTTTCACGTCCCAAACTATTATCTTGAAATTATATTCCTAAATAGTGGAAATTATTTGATCAATAGTTTGGTAATATAGAGCAACATCAATAATATCACGAATAAACAACCTATCATCGTATTTCATTCAATTAACTAATAGAAAAGAATTCTGAAATAACTAGAACATAATATATCATTATTGCTACCTGCATGAATAATACTTGGCGTATAAAGTCAAATAATTGGTAGCTCTGCTAAGAAGTTTGTAATGCAGTGCAACTAACTCCAAGCAAAACAAATGTGTCAAGAAAATATATTTATAATCAAAGACTTCTATTTAATATTTGAAATATTTTGCAATACCTAGTACATACGCTTCAAACCGATAGCAAAATAGTTCACCAATATCACTAATTTGATTACCCTATGCTTCAAGCGCTAATATAATAGTTCAATTATTAGATTATCATGCACTTTTTGTCTTGTATATTAAATCTGCATATATATGTTTCTTTTTTTTCCTCTTATTATTTGTAACATTTAAACCAAGCCCAAAGTGAATAATCCCAATAAGGGCATGGCGTATATAGAACTAATATACCTCAGGTCTGTTAGGACGGCTAGAAAGTGTAGCAAAACTTTGGATTTTTTCATATGTTGCAAAAAACTTCGATTTAACTTTTTTAAGCATCTTTAGGTCCAAAGCCTCGTGTAAACTAAGAGTTTGTTTTAGTTTAGTGTCCCCCCTTTTTAGGGTATTTGTCTGGAGAAAATGATGATGACTTTACCTTGATACATTAAATAATACAGGGCGTTCATAGAGTCCTGTTTCAATTTTATTATGGAGTCAGTTCTCAATATCTCCATTTATTTTAATCAGTGTTTATTAAGTTTCTTACTTCATTTGATAAAGGGCAGGGACCAGCAAACCATATATGGTATGGTTGAATTCCCTTTGCAATTTAAAAAAATTCATGACCTCATGAACATGAACACACTTGCATATTTATGTTCACACCCAGATTTCTTTATTGAAAACCAGATTGGTGCATTGTAATTCAGTCTTATATTGAAATTTTGGAAATATAATTGGTGATGAATATTATTGTGTTTCAAAACTTTATTCATATTTCATCTATTCTTCTCTTTGAACACCATGTCACATGACTTTTTGTCTTGAACATAGCTTATTCTGTATTTGCTGTAACAACTCGTTTTACTGCCGTGGCCATGCTGTGTGCGTATTGGTACAGTCGGTCAGCATTTTTCGTACAACATTGTTTGTTTTAAAATATTCTAATATTGTTGCCTTGCTGTTTATGTTTGCCAGTGCACAATTACTTTTTTTTCTGTTTAAATACACACAAAGTATGCCTGTCAAGTTCCAGAGGACTTTGAGACATAGCTGAGTTAGTCTGCCAGTCAGTCTAGTCCTATTAGTGAGAAGAAATTGAAAAAGCATAGTGGCTTGCGCAATTCAATCATTCCTATTGGGGGATGTGAGTGGCGATTGGATTTGGGGAAGTCTTCGAACCTGTACTTGGGATGGCGTGATAATCGGCGAACAGATCTTGTTTTAGAGATGAAGGTTCCTCATTTTTTTTAAAAATGAGGTACGTGTTGTTAGTGAATTCGACACAAAAGAGAACCTTTTCTTATCATTAAGACTGCTTACTGGTAATTAATATGGCGAGCCGCTGCCGCTTTGATTACAGGTACCATTCGTAACATCAATTCAAGCTAATCCCATACCCGACATTGACAGGTAACTGAACGAGATGCCGTGGTTGACCGTATGATTGAGCCGTCCTAGCGGTTCCTAATCCCCGGGATAAATATGTAAATCCTATCGGGTATTAATTGACAATAGTGAACCAGTTATCTTTTTCGGTGTAAGCGAGAAGTTCAGCAATCGTCTCGCGCACAATTATCCCACAAAGGATGCAAAATCCGTTCCTGGTAATAAGATATGCGATAGTAAGCTCCAATTGTCGGGTGCATAATATATACAAGTGTGTTATATAAAACTTGAAAGCAGGGCACGCTGTTTGGTCACTGTATAACGACAATCAACAAGCTTACTTGGAATGGGCTTGTCCATCAATTGTCGCCATTCCTTGCATTAGACAGTATCACACTAAAGAAGGCCCTTCGACTCCGGAAAACGGAGGCTAACATTAAAACGGGTAGAACGAAAAAAAAATAAAGGTGACTTAATTATATTAACCATATTCGTCAATTTTTGTCGTTGCAACTTTTATGCAAATGAAGAATGTTGTCTTTGACACCGATTTTTGTCATATCCATAGGTTCATGTTCAATATATATACAAGTAAGTCGCACTTCGTAGATGGTAAAAACTTATAATGCCGGAAATTAGTTTTGGACTGATTTTGTTTATAATTCTTCCTTGACTTCATTCAATCAGATTAATTACAGATTTGAGCAAGTAGTGGTTGTGGGCGTTGAGTCAAATCATACTGATCATACTGTATTATTCGTTGGTTCTCGATTTTCTCGTTTCAAGTAGTTGAGACTCGAGCACAGACATTGCTTTTTTCACCTTGACAAAGTGGCATAATAGTATTGAGTTATGATAATTGACTATTCGAAAATCAGCCGAAAAGGTATTCGAATACCTTTTCGGCTGATTTTCGAATAATTCCGGATAGTAGCCACTTTTCGCCGTAAACGTGGTGTTTCGTTTTGAATCTTCAAACGACTTTTTACGCTGTCTCACGTATTGTAATGGCGATGAAATAGAATCCGCACTTTGATTGTTCATATTCTGTGCGACCGATTATTACTCAAACATACAACGGCGATCTGCGGACTTAAAATGTGGGTAAAGTTCCCGAATATAGGTAATTAATTTTTGATTCGCATTTTTGTACTCACGAAAAGTCGGAAAAATAACTCATACTTTATCCCGCTTTTTGGCAAATAATTTGGATAATGGTTGGTATTTTAAAGTATGGGCGTTTTACTAAGATGATTTTGTGTTGCGCAAATATTCAAATCCATCACCGATACCACTATTGCCGTATTAATTTAATTCTGTTAACATGACTCATGGTATATAAAATATATATCGCAATAATCTGCAAATATGAAATGCCTGGTGACATAGCTAGGTTGTAGATAGCAGTTATTCCATTGCTTATTGTATGGAAAAACCTACATACATTTAGATAAGCTTCAATTACTTGAATTTATTTTCGAAGTATTCGAAATTTCATATTCGAAAAAAATAATTTCGAATGTATTCGAAATAGTGAACTATTAGGTTTGGCCGTCCTTGGGTTAGGTCATAATTTTATTCCAATTTTCCATATTTTAATCCTCTTACGAGTTCGGAGACTCTCTGTGTTAGCCAAGTGAATATACCCCCTGCCCATAGGCTTCCGTCCCTTTACACAACTTAATGTACAGTAGGCGAACTAAATTAGTTACCTTCATGTGGAGCGCCAAATTTTTTATATTTTGCGTTAGGTTTCATATTCTCTAGAGCTGTCAATTAAAAAAATGACTCTATGATACTTTTGGTATGTCAACTGTTCTACTTCATGGATTTTCACAAGTATACTGCACAGAGTCGTAAAACTATGTTGATCGCGTGCTTAATAAATTTAGTAACAAAGAATTATACACACAATTGTTGTCAATATCATTTCTTTTTCACGTCCCAAACTATTATCTTGAAATTATATTCCTAAATAGGGGAAATTATTTGATCAATAGTTTGGTAATATAGAGCAACATCAATAATATCACGAATAAACAACCTATCATCGTATTTCATTCAATTAACTAATAGAAAAGAATTCTGAAATAACTAGAACATAATATATCATTATTGCTACCTGCATGAATAATACTTGGCGTATAAAGTTAATTAATTGGTAGCTGTGCTAAGAAGTTTGTAATGCGGTGCAACTAACTCCAAGCAAAACAAATGTGTCAAGAAAATAATATTTATAATCAAAGACTTCTATTTAATATTTGAAATATTTTGCAATACCTAGTACATACGCTTCAAACCGAAAGCAAAATAGTTCACCAATATCACTAATTTGATTACCCTATGCTTCAAGCGCTAATATAATAGTTCAATTATTAAATTATCATGTACTTTTTGTCTTGTATATTAAATCTGCATATATATGTTTCTTTTTTTTCCTCTTATTATTTGTAACATTTAAACCAAGCCCAAAGTGAACAATCCCAATAAGGGCATGGCGTATATAGAACTAATATACCTCAGGTCTGTTAGGACGGCTAGAAAGGGTAGCAAAACCTTGGATTTTTTCATATGTTGCAAAAAACTTCGATTTAACTTTTTTAAGCATCTTTAGGTCCAAAGCCTCGTGTAAACTAAGAGTTTGTTTTAGTTTAGTGTCCCCCTTTTTAGGGTATTTGTCTGGAGAAAATAATGATGACTTTACCTTGATACATTAAATAATACAGGGCCGTCATAGAGTCCTGTTTCAATTTTATTATGGAGTCAGTTCTCAATATCTCCATTTACTTTAATCAGTGTTTATTAAGTTTCTTACTTCATTTGATAAAGGGCAGGGACCAGCAAACCATATATGGTATGGTTGAATTCCCTTTGCAATTAAAAAAATTCATGACCTCATGAACATGAACACACTTGCATATTTATGTTCACACCCAGATTTCTTTATTGAAAACCAGATTGGTGCATTGTAATTCAGTTTTATATTGAAATTTTGGAAATATAATTGGTGATGAATATTATTGTGTTTCAAAACTTTATTCATATTTCATCTATTCTTCTCTTTGAACACCATGTCACATGACTTTTTGTCTTGAACATAGCTTATTCTGTATTTGCTGTAACAACTCGTTTTACTGCCGTGGCCATGCTGTGTGCGTATTGGTACAGTCGGTCAGCATTTTTCGTACAACATTATTTGTTTTAAAATATTCTAATATTGTTGCCTTGCTGTTTATGTTTTGCCAGTGCACAATTACTCCTTTTTCTGTTTAAATACACACAAAGTATGCCTGTCAAGTTCAGAGGACTTTGAGACATAGCTGAGTTAGTCTGCCAGTCAGTCTAGTCCTATTAGTGAGAAGAAATTGAAAAAGCATAGTGGCTTGCGCAATTCATTCATTCCTATTGGGGGATGTGAGTGGCGATTGGATTTGGGGAAGTCTTCGAACCTGTACTTGGGATGGCGTGATAATCAGCCAACAGATCTTGTTTTAGAGATGAAGGTTCCTCATTTTTTTTTAAATGAGGTACGTGTTGTTAGTGAATTCGACACAAAAGAGAACCTTTTCTTATCGTTAAGACTGCTTACTGGTAATTAATATGGCGAGCCGCTGCCGCTTTGATTACAGGTACCATTCGTAACATCAATTCAAGCTAATCCCATACCCGACATTGACAGATAACTGAACGAGATGCCGTGGTTGACCGTATGATTGAGCCGTCCTAACGGTTCCTAATCCCCGGGATAAATATGTAAATCCTATCGGGTATTAATTGACAATAGTGAACCAGTTATCTTTTTCGGTGTAAGCGAGAAGTTCAGCAATCGTCTCGCGCACAATTATCCCACAAAGGATGCAAAATCCGTTCCTGGTAATAAGATATGCGATAGTAAGCTCCAATTGTCGGGTGCATAATATATACAAGTGTGTTATATAAAACTTGTAAGCAGGGCACGCTGTTTGGCCACTGTATTAACGGCAATCAACAAGCTTACTTGGAATGGGCTTGTCCATCAATTGTCGCCATTCCTTGCATTATACAGTATCACACTAAAGAAGGCCCTTCGACTCCGAAAAATGGAGGCTAACATTAAAACGGGTAGAACGAAAAAAAATAAACGTGACTTAATTATATTAACCACATTCGTCATATTTTGTCGTTGCAACTTTTATGCAAATGAAGAATGTTGTCTTTGACACCGATTTTTGTCATATCCATAGGTTCATGTTCAATATATATACAAGTAAGTCGCACTTCGTAGATGGTAAAAACGGTGACCGTACATTTGAACCCATGCGTATATCCACGGGTTCAATCTATATGCGGGTGCTAAAACCCATGGGTTAGGGTTAGTATGGGTTTAACTATCCGTGAAACAAAAAAAATTCCATAGGTGCAATAGCATACAGGTGCAATTGTCATGGGTTCAAATGTACGTGGGTTCAAATGTAATGGAACCGGTAAAAACTTATAATGCCGGAAATTAGTTTTGGACTGATTGTGATTATAATTCTTCCTTGACTTCATTCAATCAGATTAATTACAGATTTGGGCAAGCAGCGGTTGTGGCCGTTGAGTCAAATCATACCGATCATACTGTATTATTCGTTGGTTCTCGATTTTCTCGTTTCAAGTAG